GGCTGAAATTGAGCTCAAATCGAACTTGACTTGGATCGATTTGGATTGATTTGGGTCGATTTGGGTCTGATCGAGTTAATTTCATGAAATTAAACTCAAATCGGCATTGAATTGCGTCGAATTGGGCTTGGCGACGCTCGAGGAGGTTCAATTTAAATTGATTTGATTTTAATTTAATTAAATTGGAGTAAATTAAATTAAATTAAGAAGGCTTAATTTGGGTCAATTTCGTATCGATGACGATCGATTGGGTCGATCGAGCACGATCAGGCTCGATCGGGTTCGGGTCGATACAAAAATGTTCGTCAACAACATGCACTTTTTATTAAACACTTGATTGTAGGGTGTGACGATTCTTATTATGTTAAATGAAAAAAAAAAAGAATCATACTGAAAAACTCACTGCAAAATTTGAGATTAAAGAGTTATAGCTTATATGATTACTTCATATTGAGGTGACTCGATCAACAAAAGGGATATTTGTATCAAAACAAAATATGTCATGGTTCTTTTAAGAGAACATATATTGCTGACCGCAAGCGATGCAAAACTCACATTGAGCTATACTAGAAATTAGAAACTAGTGAAGAAAGAACATCAGTGAACAAAGGTTGATATCAAAGATCAGTTAGAAAACTAATATACCAATTATATACTTATCCATACATTACATTTACATTGAGTCTTGTAACTTGATTCATGCATTAACCTATGTAATCTCATCTTTAAGCTACTTTCAGAGTTTTTACATTTTTAAAATCAAATCATGGAAAATATATTCTCTATAAAATTTGAAACTCTAAAATTAAATGGTTATATTAAGGCTGATTGCGTGGAATCACCATTGGATATAATTCCAACTGTTGCACTTGAAGGAAAATTTTTAATACGGAGAAATAACTCATGGTCTCAACTAACTCATGGTCTCATGGGAAGTGTATTATATGAGTTTAGAGCAATTGCTTGAGGAATCTGTAAACTTTTGTAGTTAAAAGTTATAGTAGAAGATCTAAAGATTAAATGCGAATGGCCTATTAGGATATGTTGTGATCACAATGCTATTATCATTACTTGCAATTCAATACAACATGATAAAACCAAGCAGAGGTGGGTAGCTACTTCATGATAGAAAAATTAGAGAGTTTTTTTATTTTCACCATTTATGTCCCAAGTTCCCAACAGATAGTACACTCACTGCTATATTCATCAACGGATTGTGCAGTCCTACATTCAAAAATATTCTAAAAAATTTAAAATATTAGACCTCTACCAACCAATTTGAATGGGGATGTTAAGGAATGCAGGCTTTTTAAGGAAAGATGGTATATCAAATATGGAAGTAATTATAGCTTGACAAGAAATAGATGGCTTGCAGATTTGAGCAATGAAGGAAGGGAAGTTGTTGGACACAACAAAAAAGTAATTACAACATAAAAGAAAGTTATGACCCATGGATTTATGAAAAGGAAAGAAGGTTGGCGAACATAACAAAGAAGTAATGACAGTAGGAAGTGAAGGGTGTGAAACAAAGATTCAAGCAAGGAAGTAAATACCTGTGGCGGATTCAGTAGGAAGTAATCGGCATGCTGGATTCAATAGGAAAGCAGAAACACTTGGGGAATATTTTTGAATTTAAAGTTATTATAATTATCGCTCTTCTTAGAATTTATAGGTTCCTGATATAATCTTGATAGCTCGATGTGTAGATACCCCTTGAATATATAATGAAGGCATCATGTATTTTAACCAACATTCTATTTTTCCGCAAATGATTTCAGTAGTTTTTTTTTTTCAAGTTTTATATTTAATTTGGAAGTCTATTATCAGTGAAGGAATTTAAGTTTTGGGAAAAAAATATTTTTATTTGGAATTTTTTTTTATACTTATTGGTGAGTAGACATGTTTAGTAATGAAAGGCATATAAGCAAAATGTTGTGGGTTTTATGCCTGGTTGATGTCTCGTGTGCTGAACGAACTTGCGCTTTTAGGTACAAATAAGTTGACCTGGTAGTTATAATCCTTGCAAAGTATTGTGTTGCATGACTAGATTGAACCTTTGGTATTAGCTTTTATATTGTTCAAGTTTTCACATAAATTGTCCTATTTACATCTCTTCATATTCACTCGTAAGTATGCCAGCTGATTGAGTTGATTCTTATTGTGGGATTTGGATGTGCATTAGAATCCAATTGAGCGCACACAATTTAAAATCTAATGTTCAATCATAACTTTTCATCAAGGTTTAAATCGAGATTAGAAATTGAAGTGTTTTGTCTTAGCGAGACGATATATAAACCTTGAAACAAAAAATAAAATACTAAAAAAATTATAAATAACTTTTAAAAATGATAAAAAAAATGAAATAAACTATCAACATAATGACATGTTTGAAAATAGATGTTATGATAACACAGAAGTTTGAAAGCTGATTCAAATTAAACACTCACTTATAACTTAAATACACCCTTAGGATCAAGATCCAAGACAACCTCATCCTCATTTTAACATTCTTCAGAAGAATCTTTAATCTTCTGTCAAAGTCATATTTAAAATCTTCTTCAAATATAATATTTTTTTTCTTACCACCTATACCAGTTAATATTGTGTTAGATATAATTGAAAATAAATTAATAAATTAATAAATTAATAAGAAACAAAAATAATTTGTTATATTTAATATTACATTTAGATTTTTTTTTTTAAGCTTAATCTCTACTTTGTTTCTTCCGTTTATATACTTGTGAAATAGAAACTACTCTTAAGTTAATTAACCTTTCAAAATCTGCTTTAATTTCTTCATTCTCTTTATCATTATAAGTTTATCCTTTAGCTTCAACTTCAAGACTTTCGATACTTTTGGGCATTATCCATTTATCATTAGATTGTAAGTTATCAACAAATGATCCAATTCAAATCACTAGTTTTTTGCATTTGTAATTTGAGGTGTCTATGTTTCATTTTTTTCCAGCTTGTTCATATGTCCTACAACCAATCGATTTTTCTCTTTTTATGAACTTAGTTGAAGGCGCTCTAATTACACTCACGTGTAAAAGTCGAATAGATTAAGCTAAGAATTTTAACTGTAAATGCTTTAAGTTTAAGAACATAATCTCTAAGTTGAGTCAACTAATGTTCTATATTGAATAAAAAAATTATTAAAGTATATTCAAGTAGAAAGTTTAAACATAAATGTTTAAATTTAAATTATAAGTGAATGTAAACATACTGGGGGAGCTTATTTTATAATGTGCTTGAGTTGCTATAAATCTAAATATTTGATTTTTTTAAATGAAAATTCTCAAGTTGATCATTTATTTCGAGGTATTCACTTTCAGAAATTTGTGTATCCATGCATACATATAAATTAATCTCTATATCTACGGAAAAGTCTCTATCATACTGAAATTGAGGGTTTAAGTAATATGCAATTGTGTGCAAGTGTTGGTGTAGCTAGCGATCTCACTTTTCATCTATAATTTCTCAAATTTCTTTATAGGTATATTCTTATCCTCCCAAATCTCTTGTTTTTGTTCTCTTTATACTTATTCATAGCTTCATAGATAAATCTAATTGCTGGGGTTTTCTCATCATCAGCCATTCTTAGTACCTTAACTAAATGTTCTATAATATTTAGAACATAATTTATACTACAATAAAAAGAATTATCTTTCAATACAACCTTTTTTCTTTTTTTGCCCTTGTCTTTTTGCCTGGAAATTTATATCCTAGTCCTCAAAAGAAATGTAACTTATAAGGCTGTCTTAGCTCCCTCAATTTTTGCGAAAATAAAATTTGTAGTTGCAAATCTAATGGCTGCAAGCCGAATAATTTTTTTTTCAATCAACTTTTTGATCAAACTAAGCATCAAAGAGTAATTGTAAATAAATTTGCTAACAATTTTTGCCTTTAAAAAAGCAAATTTATGTAGTGACAATTGTCCTAATCTCTCAAGTATTAAATCAATGAAGTGTGCAGCACATGAAGTCTAATAGAGACGCTTTCTCTTCTTTATTAACAGTCTCTCTGCAGGTTTTTAGGCACTTATATTATTTGTAATAATTTGAATAATCAATACAATATTATAGGTACTATTAGCAAGGAAACTGATGATGCTCTTTTATCAAACATATAACCAAATACAATATTATAGGTACTATTATAGGCACACGCCTCGATTGCCTTTTTAAACCATGCTTTTGATCTATTATTAAAAAATTGTTAAAGAGTGTTTCTTATTTGATTTTCAGGCACTTATTATGTTTTATTTGCAAGAAATGAATCATTTTCTAATAGAAATTACGAAATAGATTTTGTTTTGAAGTTTTGACTCAATTTGGTCTAAAAGCTATAGTGGCTTACACTTTCTTTCTTGTAGTATTATGATACTTGTTGGTTGTCTGGCCATCCACGAACCACGCCTTCCCTTATTATCAGAGGTCATGGTAGTGTAGGTGGTAGCATGACTGCCTATTGCATTAATTAAGAATTTGATCGCCACTTTATTTACTAATTGCACTTGCTGTATTGCAGTTTAGCCCAATTTCTTAGAATTAATTGTATAATAAAGGTTATCAACAAGCCTTCCAGTTTCAATAAATCATTCTCTTGAAAATTCTGGATAAAATTCTTTTTTTTTTTTCTTTTATGGCTTTGGGAGATGCATGGCATTTTTTATTTGTTTAATTGATGCATATGCTGCAGTCAAATGCTTCATAGGGCTAAGGTGGTTGCCAAATTTTTTTCTACTTGTCTGTCTGCATGTTAAGTTGTTTACCTCTTCAATGTTTTATACCTTGTAGATTTGTTTAAGCACTACACTTATGGTGTGGCATTTTTTTTAGTGAAGTACTTGTAGCATTCCTTAAAAAATATCCCCATAGGCATGCCTTAATTTTTTTGTTCCTGTGCATTGTTGCCTTCTCTCCTCTAAATGTTAGTATGAATTGCTCTTGTATAAACATTCCCAGGAATTGAATGCATCATGAAAGAGTTCATTTCAGGTATGAACCTGTCCTAGTACAAGAAATGCTCACTCTATTCATTCATATTGTTAAAGAACGTCGATTTTGCGGGTCCTCTACGATAGAAAATCTACGGAGAGAACTGGTGTATAGGTTGGTTATTGGTGATGCTACTCATAGCCAGCTAGTTAAATCTCTGCCAAGGGATCTGTCAAAGAGTGATAAACTCCAAAACACTGTGGACATGCTTGCAGTATATTGCAATCCATCTGGGATGAAGCAGGTTTTTTTTTCCTGACTATTGTAGACTATGTTATTAGTTTTGTATTATAGCTAGAATAGGTTTTTATTTTTTTACACTTAATTCCAGGGAAAGTATTCACTACGTAAAGCATATTGGAAAGAATTGGACTTGTATCATCCTCGTTGGAGCTCAAGAGATCTACAAGTTGCAGAGGAGAGATATTTCCGTTTCTGTAATGTTTCTGCCTTGAATGCTCAGCTGCCAAGATGGACTCCCATCTTCGAGCCTCTAGCCTCTATATGTAGAATAGCTACTTCAAAAATGGTTCTCCAAATTGTTCGGGTAGTTTTTTTTTATGCATATTTCTCTGAAAGATCTACTGCTTCCCGGGCTCCAGATGCAGTTCTTATTACAGCATTGCACTTGGTTTCTTTAGCATTAGATATCTGTGAAACACAGCAACTTTTCCTTACAGATGATACGGTTCCTATGCTAACCAGTGCTAGTGAAGAATTTGACATGGGTACCAGCAGTGCCTCTGCGTTCTGGAAAAATCAAAGCATGCTATCATTATTGGTTTCCTTAATGAGGAAATACAGGGAACAAAATGATGATGTCTATTCCGAGACAAGACATTGTAACATTTCTTCTTTAATTGAGACTTTGCTGAAGAAGTTTGCACAGTTAAATGCTACTTGTATGTCTGAGCTCAAACGTTTGGCTCCTGATGTAGTCTGTAATGTGCCACAACTCAATAGCACTGCTCAGAATTTTGCATGTATTTCTGACATAGATGAGAGGAAATTAAAAGCACGGCAGCGTCAGGCTGCCGTATTGGTATGTTTCAGAATTATTATCAATTTTCTTTTTCTAAAATAATGCTTCTTTTGGTAATTTGTTACTTTTAGATAGCTTCTCAAGAACTTTTTTTATGGTAATTTTGATTTGTGTGGGAAATGAGAGCCCTTGTCATGCTTCATGGTCTTGCTAACACAATTGCCAAACCAGTCTTCCATTTTCTATTTTATTGTTCTTGAAGTACATAACAATATTGCGAATCAAAATTTTATGTTTGTACAATTTCGATCCATTTTCTATTTGGTACTGTGCAAGGCATGAAGGTTGCTGAATTTTTAGCTCTTACCTTCTGGCTCTTTGCAGGTTTTTGAAAGATGTCTTATTTCCAAAATTTTGGTGGACTATGAATCTAAATGGTTGGTTTGCTAGATTGTATGTATTTCAGTGTGAATTTTGAGTTTAATGCAAACATAACATTTTGTTGTTGTTTATCAACAATTTTATCTTCTGGGATAATAATGCAAAAATAAATAAATTCTAGTGTGTTCTAGGGACTTGTATACTTTCTCTGTACCTTAAGAGCACCTGACAAAAAAAAAAAAAAAGGATTCTTAATAGTTCATACAATTAGATCATTTTCATATATGAAATAATGTTCTTGCATAGCTATCCATGGAAATCTGCTGATGTGCCTTGGTATAAAAAACAAAAACAAACTCAAAGAGATTCAACACAAAAATAGATTTATATTGATAGAAAATCAAATACGAAAAAAGCATGATACAATTGTCCTTTTTCGAGAGGGGGACCTTCTCTCCCAAATCCTAGACGCAGCTTGGATCCCTCACAAAAAGAAAACTACAACACTCTCAAAACAAATCTTGCATACAAACATAACATAAATTCTACTGCTTATAGCAAACAATAAAACAATAAACTTCAAAATTGCCCTCCCATAATTCCCTCTCAAATTAGCCCCCAAATCAGTCACCTAAATTATGAAATATCTCATAATTAATCTCCTCCAAATCAACCCCCAAATCTGTCATCTTTAATTAAGAAATATCTTCTAATTAATCTCTAATTCAGCCCCCAAATATGCCTTTTTTAATTAGTAAATATCTCATAATTAATCCCCTTCAAATCAGCCCTTTTTAATTAGGAAACATATCCTAATTAATCTCGTCCTTAATTCCTCTTCTCACATATGTAATGATAGGTTTAATGGCCCCACAAGGGGGGTTGAATCCCTTACCCTTATCGCCCCTGCCATGCTGTCCTCTCTCGTGTCATCTGCATATGCCTATTCGTAAGTTTTCAATATTGAAGGAGATTCTCAAGTTTTCAATATTGAAGGAAATTGACTTCATGCCATAGTAATTTGCATTACAATTCCCCCCCCCCCCTGAATTTGATAATTAATGAGGTGGTTGCATCTTCAAATATAAAGTCAAGATTTTATTACAAACTCCTACAGTTGATTTTCATGATCATGGGAACTGATCTATTTACTGGAGAAAATGTCTTATTATATTGTGCTGTGCTGAGATAGTAAATTCATGCTTTTATTTTGTCTATGTGATCACTGGGATGAGGGTAAGTGTAATTCCTGCTGTTTTGCAGGAAAAAATGAAAGCAGAGCAGTCCAAATTTATTGAAAGTCTTAGCTCCAATGACTTTGAGCAGGAATCATACAAACAGAAGGAATCTCTTCCGAAAATTGATGTGAGAGAAGAGTCAGTACCTGTTTGTTCTTTGTGCCATGATCCTGATTCGGGAAGTCCATTATGTTTACTGATTCTTGTCCAGGTAATTGGTTTGATGACCATCTACTTTTGAGTTTTGCCTTTATCCGTATTTTGTCTTCTTTGGAGGGATGCTTTGCAACAAAAAAATATGGAAAATCAGATATGAAGTGCCATTATATGTTCACAGATTACCAATTTTTAGCTTCTTAATTTCTAACTTTGTACCGATGTGGGAAAATTTGGGCGAGTTCTTATTTGGTTGTTCTTAATTGGAAATTAGTGATGAATTGAGTTGTTATTTGTTGTTCTATTGCTAAGAAGTATAAATGATAATTCTTTTGGTTGATGGGTGTTCTGGATGGAGACAGGTTTGGAAATGCCTTTGGGTGCCAATTTCTGCAACTGAACTTTTAAGATCAAATGTAAAATCTCAAAAAGTTGTGCAAAAGTTGTGCAAAAGTTGTACAAAATAAATTTTACACCTTTTTAATTCATGCATTTATGATTTATATGAGAGTTTGAGAGAGTGAAAGATGTCTGAGTAATATACTCAGTTTGATCCCAAGTAAAATTGCAAGTTTGGGTGATTAATATTACTTCAAACTGTTTTCAAGTTCCATGCTCTTCATGACTCTTGACATGAGTGGGTATGAACATGCAAATCATGATCAGGGTTGAGATGATATCATGCTAATTCTACTGCTAGATAGCCTTGCAATATCAATCAGTCATTATTGTCCTTATCCCTAACTATTTTGGTTATATTTTATGAAATCATCATTGTTATTTCAAGATTTTTTTACGACTTCAAATCATATTACTTTTGGTAAATTATTTTTTTTATTCACAAGTACTCTTTGTTAATCTACGTACTCTTGCTGAAGCCATAGAAGTTTATTTTTTGCTATCATATTTCATTATATACTCTTGTTTTCTCCGTGTACCATATATTATGCTAATATTCTTAAATTTCACGCTCAACTAATGACTTTTTTCATACCTGACACTTTTATCCATGTAGCATAGTTAATTTTATTGTTATTTTATGAAGTTTATGTATAATATCTATGATGATGTCTAATTACATAATACTCCTAGACACTTCTTATTAATCGGTCATCTTTAACTCTGGAATTATTGTCCTCGTTTTTTTTATAGTTTATCTAAGATGGTTAACTCTAAATTTATATTTTGAAAATTCCTTTAGTGTTCTTATTTTTTCTTGCATGCACAAATTTATATAATTTACAATTAACATAATGTATGGTGCATTACTTTAAATATCTTTCGTAAGCATCTTCATAATCAATAGTATGAATTTGATGTTAATCCTTGATGTAATTCTTTTGTGTTTGAAAAATTTGTTGCCATTTCACAACTGTTAACGTTAGCACTATTGCCTCATACCGATCTGTAGCAACTTTAACATTGATTTGCCAAACAAAATTTTCGTTTTGATGCCAATGAATTCAATTCTTGTGGTACCCGGTCATATAACAATTTAGAATTAGTAAATAACATGTGAGAATCCCTCTTTATTTCTTTTGGTATTTTTTCATTAATTGTCTTAACTAAGGAGTTTCCGTCATAGTAGATTCTCCACCTAAAAATCAATTTGATTCATGTATGCTAATATGATTTTCTAATCTTATGTTCTGGTGCCCTATTCTATAACTTTATTATATTATTTAAAAGTTTTTGAATTAAGATAGCAATGCAAACAAATTTATAGATTCTTTTCATAGAAGATGATGGATAAAGAATACTATTGAAAGAATGAGAGTTGAAGATACTAAATAGTTGGAAAATAGGAAGTAGATGTGATGCATTCATGTTTTTAGTTTATTTTGTTTTGATGTAATGTGAACAATATTAGTTGTGTTTATTATTTTGTTTAAAGCTATCCAATGATGGAGGGCATCCAATGATCATGTTAGGAAGTGCTTGGGCATGACAAGTCTTGGGTTTGCTTGCATTTGGTTCCTTTTTGTCCTTGGGATGATTGTTGTTCTCGGTTTGGGGCCTTGGCTGTTCACGGGCTAGGCTTTGGCTGCTTGGTTTTGAGCTTAAAAAGTTGGGTTCTACTTGGTGTTAGCTCATTAATGCTTGAGCTGAAGTTTAGCTCATTAATTGGAGGAGTAAATGCACTTCCTAGCTCATAAAATCATAAAGGTATTTGGAGTGGATCTTGTCTCTCCCCCTTCTTGTGTCTCTTTGGTTTCTTTCATGTGAGTCAATGCTTAGCTGGTTGTCTTTTCGTTTCTTTCCCCGGGCTATTTTTCCCGTGAATCCCTGCCCCGTTTCCTGTGTTGGCTCCTCGGGTCCCTCTCTGGCTGCTTTCCCGTGGTTTGCTGGCTGGGCTTCCTGTGGCTTTTTCTCTCTGTTTTCTGTGCAGTTTATGGGGGCTGTTGTGGTGTCTTTTGGCTTTTCATATCTTTACAAACCTAATTGGTTTTGGTTGGAGGTGTTGTGGTTGTTTAGCTTCGTTCTTTTTCCTATAAATTAGAGATGTTTTGAGGAGGGAAATGTTGTTGAAAATCTGAGCAAATTCTTTACTAAAAACCTGAGGGTTTCTTCTATTGGAAAAGCTTGAGAGCTTGTTCCACCCCCTTTCCTCCTCTCTATTTCATCTTGGCTTCTAACATCTTCTTCTCTACGCAAGTTTCACTCCACATTTATTCTTCTTCTTGAGCTCTTGGAAGTTGTTTGTTGGCTGAAATTTGGAGACATTTGCCGGAGGAGTTTGGTAGGACGTTGGACCCTTTTGCAGTGGTGGACCCTCGGTTTGCAAGCCTAAGCACTATTTTCATATATTTTCCTACTCTCGTTGCATGTGAGGAAACCGCTAGACGGTTGTTCTGAGGATAGCGTTTTTATTTTATTATTTTGTTTCGTTTTATTTGACTTTTGTTTATCTGAATGTTTGTTTGGTTGTTTGCAAGCTAAAGTGAATCGAGTTTTGTTTTATTTTGTCCTTGTGTTCTCCAACTTGGCTTTTCTCTCTAGTTTGCATACATCAAGATGAGATAATGAGATTAAAATAATTGAAAAATAATGAGAATTGAATTGATGATGTGCAATTTCTTTAACCCTTTTAAGTTTCAAACTTGTAATAAAAAAACTTGACAACTATGATAGAGAAATGATTTGATCATCAATCATTATTCATCATTATTATAAAAAACTTATGGAGCTCTATTTATGGTGTAAGCTTCTAAATTATAAACTAAATACAAGGTAAATATTAAATGGTTAAATAGATTTCAGTGATAAAAAATTCCATGAAGCATAAACTAACTTGAACCATGAGCATTCTGTGCTGCATCAGTTTGATTCTTCTATAATTACAATTTTTGTTTATCTACCTTTGTTTCAAAAGCCTAGTGATAAAATGCTTCCTTTCTAATGTCCCATCCTTTGTCATTATTCCAGTTTTTTAATTTTAATTAAAAAAATTGATAATCAAATTACTTGAATATATTTCATTACTATCTTGATCTCCATAGATATCTCACCTGGACATAGAACTTTAACTTTATTCATCTTGATCATTGTAGTGTACTTCATCAACATGATCGTTTGGCTTTTCTAGACAAATTTCTTCAAAGAACACTTAGTAATTTCATAACTATTAGTATTTTTATGCCTTCAGCTTAATTAAGATCATGTTATAGCTTTAATAGTTTTTTCTTGCATTATATATATATATATATATATCTTATTTTCTAATACCTAAGTTACTACTTAAATCATCAAGAGTTGAAATTTTGGCTTTTCTTACCTTTCTCTTCGCAATACTTCTAGCTTGAAAGTTTTTTAAGTGTTAGTAGTTATTCCTTTTGTTTTCGTCTTAAAAGCATAATTTTTTTCATTAATCAATTTTTGTATCTTTTCAGTCCACCTATTAATTATTTATAATCCATTTCTAGGCTACACCAAAACTTTAATGATATTTTCTTAATGAAGGTAGTTTAAAGTTTCACTTTACATCTCCAGACATCCTAGATTTGAAAATTAATAGCTTTTTTCCCTTTAAATTTCACCATATTATTCTTGGTTTGTTTTTTCATTATATCCATAAGATTAATGCTTCATTGCTTAAATAAATTCACACTTAAAATGAGTTTTTTTTTTCCTTCATTATGTGGTCAAAAGCTTTTTTTGATATGCGGCCTACCTATTTTGATTAGGCCACATAAGTTGTGGGGATGAGAAACAAGAATCTCATTTTAAGCATGGATGTATTTTGGGAGTGTATCCTTATTCTATCCATAGAACTCTGTTATGGTATCACCACCAGAAAATGGCCTAGTGTTACTCCAAAAGGGAAGGTTTGGAGTTTGATTTAAAAAAAGAAGGTAAAAAAAGAAGAAAAAGTTTTGCAATCAATGTCTATCATGGAATCAAATTGCATTCTTTCCAAAAGTAGTATTTTCTTCTCACTTTTTGATAAAATATAATGTTTAAATGGTTTTAGGGTTTAAATTTATAAAGTTTTAAGTAGCAGACAAATAAATCATAATTTAGATCTAGATTTTCATTAGAAGTTGTGAAAAATTTTTCATATCACATATTTCATTTATTTTGTTTACCAGATACCAATTATTCTCAATTTTGCGGCTTGGTTGGTGTTGAATTTATAATCTTTGTTAAAAAAAAATCATTCTTATGTTTTTATGTATTTCTTGGCATGGAAGTTTTCTCGAATTTTGGGTGTTTTTCCACCACTAAAAATACCGAAGTGTGCTGTGACTCCAATTGATGAAGCTTTGATAACGTCTAACCAGCCCTCAACCTAATTCAAACATTGCCCTGCGGACCCAATTAATTAGGGGCTTCTTAATCCTTAAATAAATGGAAACATGTCTTTTTCCTTAGGTTTTTTTAGCAATGGGCATGTTCTATTTTTGTTGAGCATCTTATTAGGTTAGTTATATGCATGCCATTAGACTTTTAGTGGGAAAGGAACAATTATGGGTAATCATGGAAAGGGGTGTATAACGACAATGCTATAATACACTACAAAAAGTAATGAAAAAGGTCAATATTCCTTTGCAAAATTTTTTTCTCTTCTCTTCTCTGTTTATTTAATTGTTTTAGTGAACAGTAGCTTTTCAAGGTGTTGCTGGCAACGTCCTGGTATTACCATTTTCATATCTATGGTTTCTTTCATTGAGAAATAACTAAATTTAGTTTTTACTCTAATTTCGGTGAACTTTAGCTCTCATAATTATCGATAGTTTCTTGCATTTTATAGCAAGAAATTAAACTTCAGAATGCAACAATCTTGTATGTTCATGAACTCTTTGCAATTAGGGAGCCTGTTAAAAAAATGGTGTCATTACCTTCCCTACTTTAATTCATGATATTCACGGTTCGACAAAGCATCTGCAAACTAAGGAATCAGGTAATCTATACTCCTAATGAACATAATTTTTTACTCAAGTTGATGGGCTATGATTTTACCATTGAATACAAGGCTGAATCCACAAACAAAGTCACCAATGTCCTATCCCAAACTTATGAACCCAGCAAGACATTCACTGTCAATCTCCTACCCCTCATCTTCCCATTGATACAGTAATTACTGGTTTAAATTAAATCTGAGATAATAGCCATATAACATTTAATTGAGATCATCTATAAAGTGTCATTCCAAGCTCAATCTCCAACCCCTTTCACTTACCATGATGGCCTTCTCTATGAGCACAACAGAATTATGATAGTAGGTACTTTTCATCTCAAGGAACCGACTACTAGCATACTATGTGTGGTCACTATGGACAGTCTAAAATCCTCCATCTTTTGCCATTGCCTTGTAATGGTGCCACAAAAAAGAGGACGTCGCCGATTTCATTCAATCTTGCCCAATATGCCTAGTAACTAAGTTCAACCCTCTGCCTCTGCTGGTTAGCTTCAAGTTCTTCCAATTCTAGAGGCAGCATGGGATGATCATATTATGGATTTCATTGTTTGTTTACCCCCATCGTGAGGTAAAAACACAATCATGGCCGTTGTCGATTGTCTAACCTTCTCTCCACACCGCACTCCTCGCCAATTCATAATTAATGATAGTCGTCGCATACATGGAGTTCCAAAAACTATGACCTATTATATTGATTGCATTTTTATGAACACAATTTGTCTAGCTATATTTAGCCAAATAGGGACTAAACTACACAATTGTATGGAGCATCATCTGGACGGGTAAACTGAGTTCACCAATAGTACCCATTGAACAACTCCATTGTTATGTACTTGATAACCCCAACTGCTGGAATTACTACATACAATGGGTAGAGTTTTCCTATGACACTTTCCACTCTTCATATCGAATGACACCATTCTAGATATTATACGATCATCCACCATCACCCATACATCCATATGTTGGCAATTCCACAAAATATGACGTCATTGACAAGTGGCTCAAACTATGACATTCTCTTCCTTGCTATCTCCATGACAACTTACAAGTCAGAAATCTGATGAAACAAAAAGCCGATCAACATTATGGGGATGCCACCTTCAATGTCAGCTACCTCGTAATAGCCAAATTGTAGCCACATCGTCAATTTCTGGTACACCACATATATTATTCAGAAGAGTAGACATTCTTATGGTCCCTTTCATATTATGGAAAAAATTGACGTCTTAGCTTACAAACTAGAGCTTCCCTTGTAATTCTGCATTCACCTTGTCTTTCGCATAACCACCCAAACTTAACCCTCCAAGCCTCCATTCTTCTACCGGATAGTTGGGATAGCCACTCATTGGTCCAACTTGAATTCATTCTAAAGTACAGGCAGCTAAACCGCAGTGATGAACTGCATTAGCAATATCAAATACTATTGGTGAGGATGTCCAAATTGGAAGACACTTGGATTGACGATGATGATCTACGTCAGTCACACTAAAACACTGACCTTGATTACATAGTCAATTTGCCAAGGGAAAAGGGAGTTTATGCAACTCTGACTTGCGAACCTCTGACAAGAGCATGCTCCTTGGCCCAACCCAACTGGCCTCGCATTCTGCCAACCTGCCTCAAATGCTACCACTTGGAAATTGGGTAATTAGGAGTTGCTTAATCCATAAACAAAGAAAGCATATCTTTTTTACTTTGGTTTGTTAGCAAAGAACATGTGTCCTGTTTTTATTGAGCATCTTGTTAGGTTAGTTATGAATTATGATCATGCCATTAGGCCTTTAGTGGGAAAGGTAATTTTGGAAAGGGATGTATAGACGCAAGCTTCCTAGTTCCTTCTCAGTTTTCTTCCCTTCCTCTTCTCTATTTATGTTTTCATTGTTTCGATTAACAGTAGCTTTTCTAGGAGTTGTCGGCATTGCCCTCGAATTGTCATTTACCATATCAGTGTGGTTCTCTAAGTCTAAATTATTGAATATACACCTTCATTTTTGGATAACTAAATATTTTAAACTTTTTTTTTTTAAATTTGGATTGCAGAAATCTAGGTTAGCGAGTTTTGTAGACCGAGGGCCCCCGGATTGGAAAAATGCGGAGCAGTCGCACAAGGAGGCCAGGTCAGCTGGAAAGCTAAAGTTGATTGATTCATCCGACCCCTTCACATCCAGTCCACTTCAGTTGGTCCAAATTACTGCTCCTGAAGTTGATTATGATGTTGAGCTTGCAGATGTCGATATGTTTTTGGAATTCATTAGAGACCAGATTCCTGATATTGGAAACTTTCAACTAGCTAAGGTTTCACATGATGCTGCCAAAGATTCGTCCTTTTGCCTTGAACTGATTGAAAATTACCTTTTCCATTCTATCATAGATGATATGCATGAAACCCTGGCTTGTTCACATTCTGCAAGTGGTGAGCAGAACTTTTTAACTTCCCCTGTTGTAGATTCAAATATAAGCAAAGATTCAGGCTCTGTGCTGCGGGAATATGTTGCTTGTCTTTCAAGAATATCTTCTAAGCAACACTCATCCATGTATGATGTTTTACATTTTGGAAATCTCTCATCAAAATCTAAGGGCAAAATTACCAGAATTATTAAATTTAATCCGAAAGATTGTGATGGAATTCACATTTCTTCTTGTGGGCATGCTGTGCATCAGGACTGTCATGAGAGATATTTAGCATCATTAAAGCAAAGGTTTGCTTCCCTATGATTATTTGAATGTAACTATGGATTTTAAATTATGCCATTACTTAAACTGTTACAGCTGTTTCTTAATTAGGATTTTGTGTCTGTTTTTTTTTTTTTTTTTTTTTTATTTTTTTAGGTTTTTTTTTTTTTTTTTTTTTTTTTTTTTTTTTTTTTAACTTTTCTAGGCTTGATTTTGTTGTTGTTGTTATTGTTTTTTCTTTTGTGGTCATCATGGATACATGGTAAGACAGAACCCAACTTATTTCATGAACCGTGTGAGCTTTTAGCTAATAGATAGGTAGATTACACCAGAATATTTTTACTTAACTTTTGTAGCACCAAAGAAAAGTTTTAGATAGAGAAATTGGGTTAAAATTGATGATCATTTGAATAACTGCATCATTCTTCCTATTTGATGGTGGAGGTGATGGGGACATCAGATCATGGAAGGTTTATCAGAGGCGTGGCCGCCGATCTACGACCACGATCAAGTCTTTGTACTTTTGATTTATTTATTTTCTTATTTATGTTATCGTTGTATTTGTGTTATTTAATTTCCCGTTGTAACCTTTTAGTAAGGGATGTCGTATGTAAGCCTGAGGGCATTGTTATCTTTTTCTATTTTCTTGAGTCTTATGTACGAGGCTATTTATAGCCCCTTGTCTTTCTTTCAAAGTAATGAAGAATTATCAAAAAAAAATTCTGCACTTGTTTTCTTGTGAGAGCTCGAGAGTCATCGAGAAACATCCCTAGGAGAGGGAGGAATTGTGCATCACCCACCAACCTAGATAAGTCAGGTTTGTGGTTCTACTTCTTATCTCTCCACCGCCGGCACTACTCCTTTTCCCGAACCCTTAAGCCGCTGGCCATTTAAAACTCTACCTCCACCCGGCACTGATACCTAACCTGCCGCCCCATCCACGACCAACCCCCCCCACTGCCGGCCCCTCCTTGGTCCCTCCCTCCTTCCCCCACTTGCTATCAATTCTTTCCTAAATTAGATTTCATAAATTTGGTAACTCTTATTTGAATAAATTCAAATCAATTTGAATTTCAAATAGTTACTTAAATTATAAATCTTATTTTAGGAAACCTATTAAATCAATTCTTATTTAAATTTTAAATTAAGAGAGGATGAGGTATTTCTTCAAATGTTGATTTATTAACTAAGCAAGCATTGATTACCACATTAAATCCCTTCCTCCCTCTTTAAGCCGCCGGCCCCCTCCTGGGATTTGAATTAAATTAGTTTCCTAAAGCTACCTCCTTTTCTTGGAAACAATTCGAAGTCTTTCTCTGAATCAATTCCCCAAGAATCCACGTCAATTTTTGTCCCCAAAATTTAGCCTCCCGAATATGAAATAATTCCAAAACCTGGCCAATCCAGCTGTCCCCTCCCTAGCTGTTTTGCCTGGTTTTATCTCTCCAAAATCCTCCTAAAGCTGACCCGATTCATACCTTTCGTGCTCTCCAAGTTGCTGATAGAATTTCCTGCACCTACCACTTGGTTTGCCTTCCTGAAAGCTTCTAAAGGCTGCATTAAGAGAGCAGTTTGCTGTCTACTAGTTCCCACTGGCTCCCCGTCACCATAGTATCCTCGACAAAGCTTGTCCTTGCCGTCCAACACTTCCCAAAGTCAAAACAGCGACTTCTCGCATGGATGGCTGACCCGGAGACGAATTACGGCATTGCCTACGATGAATACAGATTCTTGCACATTCTCCATTCAACCTTCTTCGACGTCAACCCGAGGATCGACCATACGGTGGAGGATTACATAAAACATATCTTGGACACCCTAGTTGAAGCTATTGAAGAACAACTTCAGATCATCGAGTGGAGGATCACACCCGGCCCTTGACAAAGGTTTTCTAATTTTTCTTTTCTCGTATTTCTTAAGTCTAACATTTTCTTGTGAGTTGATTGTAGTTACGAAGGACGCATTCACCAATTCTGCTAAGCTTAGTAAACGTAGGGATTTGAGCGCATTCATTTGTTTACTAATCGCAATGTTAGGCTAGGGATTTTGTTGAAGCTACTATTTTGGCATAATAATATATTCCTATGCTATTTTGAAGTTTCAAATTTTTTGTTATGCAACTTAGCCTAAATGGTTGTGACCCTTCTTACATTTTCTTTCGTCGTTTTAATTGCCAGTAGTTTATTTGCTATTCCTCTAATCAAGAAATTGTGCAAAATCATAACAAACATCATCGCCATGATCATAGTTCTGCATCATCTGATATCAGAGCATGGTATGCTCTTGCATCTGTTAGGATCCTTGGTAGATTTTCTTTTCATCATCTTAGTCATTGCATTTGTGTCATTTAGAGATTGTTAGGTTGCTATCCTTATCTTTTTCACCATCATTTTGCAAAGTATAAGTGTGTTTAATTCATATTAGTTGCTTCCGGTTACATCCTAGTCACTTTAGGTGTCTCGTAGTAGATCTTAATGGACCCGGAACAACTAGGAAGGACATTAGACTTGTTGGTAGGCCAAATGAACAACATTAGCCAGAACTCAAGGAGAACCAAGCCGACCTAGCTGAACTTCGTAGGAACACCACTGAGTGGTTTGACACACTTGAGCGAGCTAAAGAGCACCCTGCTCCATACACCCCATCTAGACCACCTTCTATGTATGGGGATGAGACCTACCCGGATGAGAGACAACATCGTGCCAATCATCGAGCTCCTTACCACGGACATGACTCACGTCATGATCTAGATTTGGATGAGAGACAACATCGTGCCAATCATCGAGTACCTTACCATGGACATGATACACGTCATGATCCTGATCTACCACTCATGAAAAATATTAATACTTGACGCTCCTACCTTTGATGGCACACTCGATCCTCAGCTCTTCTTGGATTGGGTCAAAGATATGGACAGTTTCTTTAAGTGGTATGACATCTCTGAGGTTAGGAAGGTCAGCTTCGTAGAGATGAAGCTCACGGGTAGGGCGAGTCAGTTTTGAGCCAACTTAGAGAGTCTTAGGGAAGCTAGGAACGATTACCCCATTACCGATTTGCCGTCCATGAAGCGGGAACTCAAGCAGAAGTTCTTGCCTCTCTCGTACTTCCCTCGACTATTGGATAGATGGAATAGGCTGACTCAAGGCAACAAACTAGTGAAGGAGTACATCGCCTCTTTTGATGACTTCTTGATTCGCTGCAAGGGGGAGACCTCTACCACCCCCGCGCAGATCTTATCTATGTTTCGAACTGGGTTACGAGATGATCTTCACAATGAGCTGTTTGCCCGGAACATCACTACTTTGAAAAATGCCTACAGCCTAGTGCTTTATTTAGAGGAGACACGTTCACATCACCCGAACTGTTCACATGACTCTAGGTCCTCCTTCAAACTAGCTGGTAGTTCCACCCCACACACTTCTGCCACCCGACCTACCCCTGGGAGCACGACCCGACCACCCGCGGGTCCTCCTGCACCTCGATTTGATTTTTAGAATATTAATTGCTAGCTTCTAATTTAAATTCTAAAAACACATAAAGAGTCAAATAAGAAAAAAAAATTAATTATTGTATTTATTGGGTTCATCTCACTTTATGAGGATGGTTCATGCAATTGAATTTATTGCATGGCAAGAATTTCTAAATATCTTTTGGAGTGCATAAGTGAATATGTTGTTGCATAGCTGACAATAGAATGTTCATAAATGCATCTTCATGAAGACTGGAAGGTTTGTTGCTTCTTACACTTACCTTGTAATTCATTGAAGAAAAAGGCTAGTTTTTTTTTTTTAATATTAAGGCTATTTCCTTCATGACATCATGGGAAACCTAGAGTAATTTTTACCTATATATAACCAATAGACGACACCCATTATAAGAGCGTTTGCTTATTTCATTTGATTGTTTTGAATTTTATCAACTCTTCTTGCTTGCTTGCCAAAAATTGGGTCAGTGATTTGCACATCATTTAAGTTCATTCAAATATTTGTTGCATTACAAACCTTATCGACTCTACCCCCATACATACAGAGGATCGGGTATGCCTAAGAGTCAAACCTACGACCTGCCATAAGTGAGACCATGATTTTATTGTGCAATTTAAGGCCGTCTCAACATAATTTGGTATTTTTCGCCTTGAAGCATGCTCCTCAAGGTTTTGCATTAAAAACTTTTATCAAGAGTTAAACCTATTACACTTTTTCTTAATAGTAGGGATCAAGTGATGAGCATACCTAGAAAGGGCAGTTAACTTGGTCTCGTACTGCATCACTGTCATGTGTCCCTGCTCCAACTTGATAAAAGTTTCCTACATTTGTCGTTGAGTTGAAGGAGGTTCAAACCACATCCTGAACACTGTAGTGAACTCATCCTAAGTGATCTTAGTATTAGTCTTCCCCTGAAATTTCTCTCTATATTGTCCAATCCACAATCTCTCTGTCTCTTTTTCAAACAGGAATTCAACTAATGATACCTTTCGGCTTTCCAGACATTTCATGATGTAAAAAATCTTTTCTATCCTCAGTAATCAGTCTTCTGCAGCCAAAGATCCTACAGCTCCTTTAAACAATGAAGGCTTCAACTTATGAAATGTCTATAAATACTTATCTCCCTCTTCTTCTTTGTTTCCTATTGACTTACTCTACTCATCCCCCATTACCTATGCTATAACAGTAGCCAACTGCATCACACTATTTGATGGCACTGTGTTACTCATTGGGTATATTTGGCTCTGGCATATCCATTTTTATTATTTACCTATACGGCTTAGTATGATCTGAATAATACAAACATGGAATTATTTATGTATGCAAAATAATGCACCATAAACTATCCATTATACTAAACTCTCAATCAAGTCATATAGCTCTGGTAACAATAAATTCTTTCAACAACTATGCTCTGATATCAATTGTGATGTCTCAGAATCTAATTTGAAAAAGTAATCTTTTATCTTTTAATAAACAACAACTAGAGGTCCAGAACTAACTAATATAATATATAAGTAATAAACTTCAGAAACAAATTCTATAATTCAAAATATCAATAACTGGGCGCAAGTCTCATAAAAAAGTTTGAGGCATACGACTTTATGTGTTTTTCATTGAAATTGCGCTGAGGCGAGCCACAAGCTGAGCCTCAAATTGCACAATTTTTAACAGTATAATAAAGAAACAAATAATTATAGAATAATGCATAATTGTCCTAATATAATTTTTCTTAAAGCAACCATTCAAATATGGAAGTAGATTGGTGTGATCTAGGTGAGCCTCTCATAGATCCTCATGCTGGCCATAGGATCAAGAGCCAAGGGACGGTTGGGATGGTTGGGACAGTATTTCACACTCCCCCTCAAGTGGGGTAATGCAGATCTGTCATTCCTAGTTTAGCAATTAGCCCCAGAAAGGTAGAGGTATATTAAGCATGGTGGCAATGAAGGCTGCATTGGTTATAGATAGGATAACTCCCCGACAATGAAGCCACGATAGTAGAAAGAAAAAAAAAATCTATTTTATGGTTGAGACAAGCTTCAAGAATAGAAGCAAAAAAAAAAAAAAAGTTTCAAGTCGCTCAGCGCTCGACTCTTAGATCTCCTCCCGTTCGATCGAGCTAGCATTTGACTCATTGTAAATTAGTCATCCGGCTCCACTTGAACAAATTCTTGTTTGATCGGCCCTGTACTGGCGCATGCAAGGCCTCTGCTCCCTTTGATTTGATTCTAGGAAGGATTGCAGGTCTCGGATTCTTGCTTGTCCCGACCTTAAACCCGCACAAGAGGAAACTCTCAGCTCTATCCAAACGCAAGAAGGAGGCTTTTGCTTGGTTCCACCCCAGAGGGATGCAAGAGGGGCCCCCTGCTCGATCTCTCCTTTATCTTGGACGTGCGAAGGAAGCAGAAGGATCAATTATCCTCATAATTCTGACAATGAAGGTTAGTGGTGGGAACCAATATGCCTTAAAATTCTGACAATGAAGGTCAGTGGTGGGAACATGTATTCTTTAGAATTCCGGTAATGAAGGCTAGTGATGGGAACCTATATTCCTCAGAATTCCAGCAATTAAGTCTGGTGGTGCTTCCTGTAAGTTACCTCTGCCATCCGCGATTGGATGTGGTGGCATAAGACCTGTTGGAATGGTCTTCGATGGCATCGACAGATGCGTGCGGCAAGCTTTTGAGACGCACGATCCTGCTTTTTTCAGCCCCAAACGCAAGCGTAAAATCTTCTAGTTGCACGCCTGTCTAGTCTCGTTCGATCGCACGCATGCGAGAGGGGTTCACAAGATGTTTGTGTCTCTTGATCGAACGCAAAGACTGCGGGATGAAACACTCTCCTGCCGCGGGGTTCTCGCTCGATCATCTTGACTCGGAATGATGAAAAGGAGAAAATGATTCTAAGGAAATATCTTACCAAGGAGTTTGAGATCAAAAAACTTGGTAGATTAACACATTTCATTGGAATTGAAGCGGACCACTCCAGCAGAAGAATTTTCATTTCATAACAAAAAAAAATCAATGATTTTCTTAAAGAAACAGGTAAACTAGATTGTAAATCGGCGCCAACGCCAGTAGAATCAAATCTTAAATTGGGGGAATCTAAAGAAGATCTAGATATAGATAAGGGAACTTACCAAAGACTTGTGGGAAAATTGATCTACCTTTCCCACACCATGCCAGATATAGCATTTGTTGTAAGTAACTAAACATGGTCAACAATTTCATGCAAAATTCAAAACTGACACATGTGCAAGTTGTTGACAGAATACTGCATTACTTAAAGGGGAATCCAAAGAAAGGGATTCTCTTCAGAAGAGACTATGAAATAACCCTAGAAGCATATATTGATGGAAATTACGTATGATTTCTAGTAGATAGAAAATCTACCTCAGGATACTACACATTCCTTGAAGGAAATTAGTTTCATGAAGAAGTAAGAAACAAAATGTGGTGGTTAGATCTAGTGCAGAAGCAGAATATAGAGCTATGCTATTCGGAATGTGTGAGCTATTATGGATCAAAATGATTTTAGAAGACCTAAAGATTAAGTGGGAATGATCTATGAAGCTACATTGTGACAACAAATCAGCAATCATCATAGTTGATAATCCAATTCAGCATGGTAGGTCCAAGCACATAAAAGTGGACAGACATTTTATAAAATAAAAATTAGACAGTGGTGTTATATGTATCTACAATGTCTCATTAAAAGATCAACATGCACATATTCTTACCAAGTGACTTGATAACTCTGCCTTTTTGGGAATGTTTATCATGCTGGGAATGACAGATTTATATTTCTCAGCTTGAGGGGGAGTATTAAATCTCAACCATCCCTTAAACAGTTTGTCACGACCCGGCCCGGTTAGCTCGTAGATACGAGGCGGGAACGAGATCGGACATGTAATATAAGCCATAACTTCTAAAACTTGTGACATAAAGTAAAATTTTAAGAACTTCAAACACGTAGGAAACAGCCGGGTCGTGACACAGTTGATCCCACTGTTAGGATGGGGATTCATGAGAGGCTCACATGGATCATGCCGATCTGTTTCCATAATTAGGTGCCTGATTTAGGGAGGATTATATTAGGGTAATAATGCATAATTCTATAATTTATTTGTTTCTTTACTAGATATTTTATATAGATCTATAATAGGGATAGATTTTTGCAGAAACAGTAATCATTTCTATCTTTTAATTGGCAACTTCAAACTTATCCTCAATCTTTGTCTTCCATGAGTTTTCTGTTCCACAATTATGTGGTGGAACTTATGGCACTTACGGACTTGCAAGAACAATAGCGGGTAATGGGCATGGATGGTGTGGGTTGTTATGTTTTGTTTTTTCATTTTTAAATTATTGTATTGGCATTTTTTGGAATTGCGATTAATCTAAAAGCTTTACTGAGATTGGTCATGTGCTAACCTTAACTGAGATTGTGAGGGCCTTAAAAATAGTTTTTCTTCATTCTAATAATTTCATTCATTGTCTATTTCTTCAACATAATTGGCATCAACTAGTTCAGTATACTTGATTTTGGTTAAAAATTGATACATCAGATATTTGATTTTGTAGAAATTAATTCATTTGTTTGATGATTTATTTGTTTCCAAATTCTTATTGAAATTATTTGTTTTGTAATCTTTTCTTTATCAATTGGCCAAAAAGACTGCTATGGCTTGTTTTCATTCAAAAAAAGTGAGATGTTTGCTTGACTGAAAACCAATAATTTGTGAATCTTAAATTTTCTTTTGTATGAGAGCATGCTGCATGTCATATTAGTTTTTTTAGGAAATGCTAACGCTTAATCATACTACTACATCATGTTGTGTGGCTTTGTACTAGTCCAATTTTCCACATTCTTTAATAGATGCTTGATTACAATTAATGTTATACTAAAGGTTTAATTAGTCAAGCAGATGGAGGGTTTGGAGTAATACTTAAGTTGCCTCGATTGTGACTTGGAGTTTATGGGATCGAGCCATGAAAATAACTTCTCTGCAAAATTAGGGTGTAGTACAGTACACATCATCTGCTCCTTAAGAGACTTGAAACCTGAGCTTCATGCATTGGTTAAAACCTTTTTTAATTAGTCATGTGATTTACATGGTATTCAAGAATGTTGATTTTATTGTCTCGTGTTGTCTCAGTTGCGTGACCTTTTGATAAAGCATATAGGTTTGTTTTGGTCATATACTTGATAATCCATTGGCATGTTTGAAGTTGTATTTTTCGGTTATTCTGGAATTTTCAAGCCTGAGTCTGGGCATGTTTTCTGCACATGTTTAATCAATCTTTTTTTTGGAAGAAATACTGAAATCTGTATTATCCACAAAGTACGAAAAATTGTAACTTTGTTGTGAGATGGATCCGTTAAATATATGGGTTGTGTTGTTGAAGCAATATTTGGGAGTAGAGTAAGATCTCTTTGCTTGGAACGAGCTCAAAAGTTGGCCTTGGGTTGTTTATTATCTTAATCACTATTGTTTTTTTTTTAAGTATATCAGTTATGATACTTTTATCACTAGAGGGGTTCCTTATATTTCACTCGCTTGGAAGAGTTTAGTTGTTTTTTCTTTTGGCTTTAAAATTTGTTTGATATTCTATTTAAAATTGCAATAATCATGGTTTCAGGAACATAAGGAGGCTTGGGTTTGAAGGAGGGCATATCATCGACCCAGATCTGGTGTGCTATTTTTTGATATGTTCGGTCTTGTGCATTTAGATTTCAGTTCCATCGTAACTTTATTTTTTTTAACTGAATATTTTACAGTACTCCACATGCTTACAATATATTGTATTCCTAGGGGGAATTGCTTTGCCCGGTGTGCCGTAGATTTGCAAATTCAGTCCTTCCTGCTGTATCAGGTCCTGTTGATAAATCTCTGAAGCATGAGAGAGTCTCTCCCAGTATTGCAGAAGTGAGTAACATTTTGCAGCTTCCTTTAGCATTATCTCTTCTTCGAAGTGCAGACAAAAAGGTTGGCAATGGGGGATTCCTTAAAATGTCTTTTGGCAAACTTAGAGAAACTATTGAACCAGTTTTGGAGCCTACCTTGCGCAAATTGTATACACTATATTATCCTCATAATTATAATGAGTTATCAGCGTCTGGTCGGCTCAGCCATTCTCTAGTGCTATGGGAAACCCTCAGGTATTCCCTTGTATCAACAGAAATTGCTGCTCGTGGGAGGTTGAGAGCATCACCTACTAGTTCTACCTTGGAAGCTTTATACAGCGAACTTCATTCTTCTAGTGGATTTATAATGCCATTACTGCTTCGTGTTGCTAAAAGCACCTGTAGTTCGAGTTCGATTGGAGCACTCCTAAGGTTTAGAGGCATTCAACTTTTGGCAAGATCTATTTGTTTTGGCATGTCAGAGGATAATACTTTGTCAAATTCAGACAAACAAAGAGGTGCAGTTTCTTAGAGCTTGTTTTTTTTCTTTAGGGGCCGTTAGGCTGGAAGTAAAATGGGTGTAAAGTATTCCAAATGCAGAGGTTTTGAAAATATTGGAGTTTGGTTGGATGAAAAAGGAATGCTAAGTAAAGTAAATGTATTGTAAATCATTATAGTTCATTTTTGAGGTAAACTCGCCCAAGTTTGAGCGAGAATTGCTTACGCCGCAAGCGAGCTTGCTTGATTGTCGCCAAAACCTGCTATCCACCCACTGCCACCACCGCCGACAACCTCTGCCATCGTCACTTGTTGCCGCAACCCACCGCCGGCCTCCGCCACCACGGCCGCTTCCACCTGGTGCCGCCACCCATCACCGCCGCCGACGATTGTCGCCACCTACCGGCCACTACCACCTTCGATCACCACCATTTTTTGACTTTATACTACATTTATTTTATTTCAAATATAAAAAAAAACATTTAATTGCATTTACTTTACAGTCATCCAAATAATTCCAAAGTATTTCTTTTACACTGCATTCCTTTTTTAACCAACCAAATAGCCCCTTAGGAGTTGTTTGGTTTGATGTAAAATGAGGGTAAAGTATTCCAAATGCAGGGGTTTTGAATATATTGGTGTTTGGTTGTAAGAAATAGAAATGCAAAGTAAAGTAAATATATTGTAAATCATTTTTATTGATTTTTGAGGTAAACTAAACTTCTCTAGTTTTAAGCTAGAATATTTTACACCGCAAGCAAACTTGCTTGACCGTAGCCGCCCACCATTGCCATCCACCATTGTCGTCCAACCTTTCATCGACAGCCACTGTCTGTCGTTGCCACAGTCATCGGCCACAAAACGCCGCCGCCCTCTGCCAGTTGTCACTACTTGTCGCTGTCACCTTGGCCTCCATCTGCTGCTGATCACCACCGTTGAACGTTGCTGCCACATGCCAGCCATCACCATCTCTGAACTTTCTACTATATTCAATTTACTTCAAACTAAATAAAAAAAAGTATTCACTTGCATTTACTTTACACTCGTTCAAATAACTCCAAAGTATTCCTTTTACATTGCATTCTTTTTTTAGCCAATCAATTTCAGTACAAGAAGGGTGACGGTGTTTGCTCAGTGATAAACTCCTCAAGAAGGGCATATGTATTAACTTATCCAGTTTCGGTGTATCCTAGTTGTTATTTGTACTGCTTTCCATATTTACCGACTATTTTCACATAATTTATGCTTCAATAACTAACTGCTGAACTGGTAATCCTTTAAACAATTTTATGGAAGATTATTTGTGACCTTCCACAATTAGTTCAATATAATTGTCTTGTTAGTAATTCTGCTTCACCATCCAACGTGAGGAATGATCATCTTACAATCAGTCATCCATTTTTTCCCTCCTTTTTACAGGTTCATTGAATTTGGATCATACTGAAAGTGGAGATTCCTTTCCGGATATTCAATTTTGGAAGAGAGCTGCTGATCCAGTCCTTGCTCATGATCCGTTTTCTTCATTAATGTGGGTTCTCTTTTGTCTTCCATCTTCTTTTATGCAATCCAGTGAATTCTTTATTCCTCTGATGCATCTCTTCTATGCGGTCTCTGTTATTCAGGTATTTAAATGCATTTTTTAGCTGCAAAAAGATTTTTGGTCAATAAAGCTTGTAAAAAGTGTTTATTTTCATATCTGAATTTCTTATTGCTTCTCCTATGCAGTCACTCATTACGTGCTATAGCAAAGATTTTTTTGATGCATCACATTTCAGTGATTCGCTTCTTTGTGATTTGTGCAAAATGATGGGGGAATCTTCGCCAGTGAAGAAATACTTTGTTTCAAACTATATTGATCGTTGCTGTGATCCCAAAGATATGATTCGTAGATTAACATTTCCTTTTCTTAGAAGATGTGCATTACTCTGGAAGTTACTGCAGTCATCAACCACAGTTCTTTTTGATACTTCACATGTTTGGGAAGGACTAAATCCACATGCAAAGACCGATACATTAGAGGTTGACAATGCTAATTACCTCAGAATGGAGCTTGATGGAATAAGGGAGTTAGAGGATCTATTTCATGTTTCGTCATTTGAATTGATTCTTAAGGATGAAATTGTGCATTCTTTAGCTTTGAAGTGGTGCAAACACTTTTGTGATGAATTGAGGGCTAATAGATGTGGGGGCATCTTATATTATACACCCGCAGTACCATTTAAGTTGATGCAGTTACCACGGATCTACCAGGATCTTTTGCAGAGGTTTGCAAAAAATAATTCGTTGTCTTTTTTATTTTTCCCATGACCAATTCAAGTTCCAGTTATTTATGTTCACGTCATTTTTGTCACTGTTTTAACAGGTATGTTAAAGTTAAGTGTTCTGAATGCAAATCTGTTCCAGAGGAACCTGCTCTTTGCTTGCTTTGTGGAAAGCTATGTTCTCCAAGCTGGAAATCCTGTTGCAGGTCTGGATTCTGGGTTTAGATTTACCTTGCACTGTTTTTCCATTACCTTGCACGTTTTGATATTTACGGTAATCCACAGTTTTCTATGATCATCTAACACATTTTTCTTATTTCTGTAGGCCAAGTAGATGTTTAAACCATGCAGTTTCTTGTGGTGCTGGCATTGGCGTGTTTTTGTTGGTTCGGGTATGCCTAGTTTAAAATGGCATTTATTTAATCAGGTTTTCTGTCGTATTAGATTCATAATGTAAATATTACTTCTTAATCATATTACAGAAAACTACAATCTTACTTCAGCGGTCTTCAAGGCAAGCCTTTTGGCCATCTCCTTATTTAGATGCTTTTGGGGAAGAGGTAATTAGAATGCCATAGTTGAACTTTATTTAATATATATTGATAAGCGCTCAGTTTTTGATTGTTTACGTCTCATGTTTTACAATTGATTATTGAAAACAGCATTTTCTCAATATCTATTTGCCTTAAAAACTCTAGCATCTCACCATCCCCAACCCCAACCCCAACCCCAACCAGACTTGATCCGCACCCCACCTTTCCGCAATGATGTTCATGTATGCATTCAAGCACACTGGCTCATGTATCACATGTGTTTTCCGATTGATCCATGAAGACCACATTTTCTCAAGGTTCTTTTTTTTTGTTCACAAAATTTCACTTTCTCATTTTATTGATGTTCATATATGCATCAATCAAATATGCTCATTTTAATTTTGCTAGTGTTTGATTGGAAATTTTTTTATCTTTAATGATTTGAAATATTTTATAATTGAGTATGACATAGAAAATAATGAAGGACAAAAATATTATCTTGCTATGGGCTCAATAATAAAAAAAAAAATTATTTTATATTTCTAGAGATTTTCTCCTACATAATATGTATGATTTAATAGAATTTATTTTTAGGGGTGGTGCAAGTTCCCCATAAGGATAAGCCTCTATGATTATCACATTCCAAGGGCGTTGGGTTCTTGAGAAATGTTTGTATTAAAATTGTGGTTTATATTTTTTAATAAAAACATATTGACTAATTTTTATATAATTTCAAGAATTTCATTTCAAATATTAGATCTTTGGAATTTCAAGAATGATTGGATCATCTTAGAATTAATTTTGAATATAAGCCAAATGAGGAAAAGGTAAGATTATTTGTGTGTGTGTGTGTTATAAGATGATTTATTGGGTGCCCAATTGAGAAGTTTTAATAAAATCCCTGTCCTCTCAATCTCCCTCTCTCCCTTCCCTATCTCTCTCTTCCAAGAAAGATCAAGGAGCTTCTTCTTCCTCCTAAGATTTCATAATAAGTGATATCAGAGACTGGTGGAGGTGATCTTGAGGAAGGTGTTCTTATAATCAAGAAAGAGGAAGCGGCTGAGCTGCCGGTGATGCATGTCGGGGGCAAGAAGGCAGCGTGTAGGCGGACGGAGTTCGCTAGTCGAGCCAGAGTTATTGCAAACGGGAGGGAAAGTGTCATTTTGGTCGCTCGTAAAGCGGATGGTGCAGTTCACGTGATTCATAGGAGGCGTGATAGGACTTGCTTGTACGGAAGACGGGCTTTTAACCTGCGCGAGCATGCTGGTTGCATGGATTGTGTCGCGCGAGGAGATTGGTCGTGCAGGAGTGTTGCACACGTAGGCTAGTATCGTGGTCGGATAGGGTGGCCTCAGGTTGGAGGGATCGAGCGTTGTGTTCACGTGAAAGCGGGCACGCAATCGAGTAGATCGCTTGTGGTGTGGAGACGTGGGATCGGGCCGATAGGCGGAGGGGGCAGTGTGAGTGGGGTTCCAGCTCAACTTTGTGGTGTCGGGAGTCGTACCATTGGCAGCAAGACTTCTCTCGAGCATAGTGGGCTTTGACAGGTCAGTATAGGCACGATGGAGAGTACCAACAGTTATATTATGAAGAATCTAAGGGACATGGTTACACGAGCGGCGTTCAATGCAACTTTATGGTAGTCCTATTTCATGCCTTTGTCAGTTCAAGGGGATCGCAAGGAGGCTTTGGTCAAGAACCAGTTGTGGGCGTGCAATCCGTTGATGGAAGGTCAGGCCCAAGCTAGTTAGCGCGGATCAGTGGTCGCCAGATTTGAGCGGGAGGTAGGTTGTTTGTGTGACAGGCGGACCGGAGGCAGCATATTCGGGAAATGCCATGCTAGTGGTCATGTGAGGCAGGAATCATGTTCTTATTAAAGATCTGTTTAGATCTTTTTGAGGTGGAGCTTTCGGATTGGAATGCGGGCAAATCAATAAGCTGAGTTGTTTGGATTTAGTGGATCAGAGGAGCTAAAGACAAAAGCACTGGATCAAGAATATCAGAGTAGATCACACGAGAGGTAGCTACACGCAGGAGTGTGCAAGAAGTAGGCATTGGACTCGAGATTGGATGGGTGGCTTGTATGAAGTAGCCGGACAGAGTGCGCATGGGTGCCCGGGAAAAACAAGCATGCTGGAGGATGCTCGGTGCTGGAGTGTGGGCGTGTCGTGTAAGAGCAGGTGAAGCACAAGGCACGGGCGTGCGGATCACGGAAGGAACAGCGACAGGCGCAGGTGCGCGTGGTTTTGAATTTGCGGGAGCGCGAGATGGAGTCATGGATCGAAACGCACAATGGAGGCCAGGCGCGAGCCGGTTTGGGCTTGGTTTGACGGGTTTGCTTGTGGAGTTAGTGCAATGAGCTGGTTGGATCGTAGCAGGCGCGGGTTCTTGTGAATAGGTGATTCTTTGATATTCGTTGTAAAGTTGGACCAATGTAGATTGTTAGGATTAGTCTAGTTTTATGTTAGTGTTATTCTGTAAGGCATCACACCAAATATAAAATCTATATATAGAAGTTATAGAATGATATATTGGGTGCCCAATTGAGATGGTTTAATAAAATCCTTGTCTTCCCATTCTCCCTCTCTCCCTTTCGTGTCTCTCTCTTTCAAGAAAGATCAATAAGCTTCTTCCTCCCAAGATTTCATAACAGAGACTCATAAACAACCCCAAGGTCAAGTGAAACATGAAAACGAGAAAAAAATTGCCCAGTTCGACTGGCAGAGCCCCAATGTTGGGATTTGGAGCGTCGCAATGCTCTATTCTCTATCTACAACCAGCACGAGTGTGACATCACAACTCTCTGTCTCCAACACCCGAACCCAACATGGGGTGCCCCCCCTACAATTCCTCGGCGAGCTCGACTGACAGAATTGAGGTCTTAGTCAACAGTATAACCTGACTGATCAACACAATCAAATTGCTCACAGAACTAACACACTGATGGTGCCAAGATGATTTTTAAACATTTGGTCATGCCTACTAAGAGCTTTAACCAATAAGCAGCATCTTGTAGAAAATACTTTTAAATGATAGCTATTTTATTTGTTCACCCTTTTAGGAATGTTCACCTACATGAAAAAGCATATATATTTATTCTAACCCTTATGAATAATCACTTACAATACCAACAATCATAAAAAATTTTATTTGCACAAAAAATTGCAACAACATGCACTAATAGAAAATTCCTAGTCTTAGGATGCCCGTGGGGCTGTGCATCTTATGTGTGGCGTGTCTGTTTGACATTATTCGATTCTTTTTTCTTTATGGAATATAAAGATATTTAGTTTTAGTCTAATGGTGACTATTAACACGACACAATGAAGATAAAGGTTTCATGTTGTTGACCCAACGTACTAGGATAAAGGTTTCATGTTGTTGTTGTTGGTGGTGGGGATTTCACTTCAAATAGTTTGTCTTAAAGCTTTATTTGAATTTTAATTTTTTTTTTTTCATATTTTATAGAGGTTATGAAGAACTCATGGAATAACCATTACTTGCTCTGAGGCAAGCCTATTATTCATGGTACCTTAGATCCAATGATATAGGTATTCCACTTTTGGGATAGGATGATATGTCATGGCATTAAAAAAATAAGTATTTTCTTTATGGATTTTAGTGACTTTCTTAATATGTGATTAAGAGGAAGAGAAATTTACTTAATTTGGGTCAAGCAAACTTGTGTAAGGATTTCACTCAGGATTTTTAAAATTCCCTTGATTGGGATAGGTGAATTTTAGAATGAAGTCTCTTAAAGAAACTTGAAGGTTTGAATTTTAATTTTAAATGTAGGATGAAATCACCTATTTTGACTTAAGTAATGGAAAAAAATATAGCTTGAGCCTATATAGGGTAACCACCTATTTGATCAAGTCAAATAAATATCTTTGACTTGAGGCGAGGAAAGAATAAAGATGCTCACTTGATTGGGTTAAGTGAGTGTGCCAATGGTTTTTGGCCTAAAGGAAAGAGACGTCTTATTTAATTTGGCTTAATCAAAAAGAGAGATTTTTATTTTTATCGGCATATTAGTATAATTGAACTTAAAGAGGCTTTAAAGAATATGAAGTGTGGAAAATCTGAGAAGAATGAATTTCTTTGCTTACGAACTTTTCAATATTATTTTGAGGATTAAAAAAATGTCAGATGAGTGGAGAATAAGTGTGTTGATTCTTATTTTTAAGAATAAAGGTGATGCGCAAGATTGTATGAGTTATAGAGGAATTAAGTAAATATGTAATACTTTAAAACTATGGGAGAGAGTTATTGAGCATAGGTTACGATGTGATATTAATGTTTCTCAAAATCAATTTGAAGTTATGCCAGGTAGGTCTACTATGGTCTATACATTTATTGAGAGGTTAGATGGAGAAGTATAGAGAGAATAAGGAGGATCTGCATATGATATTTATTGATTTGGAAAAAGCATATGATAAAGTTTCAAGAGAAGTGCTCTGGAGAGTTCTAGAAAAAAAAAGATTAATAATACTTATATTCAAGTCATTATCGATATGTACTATTTGAACGGTGGAGATCAATCTTAGAGTCTAAAGGTTTTCGTTTGAGTAGATCTAAAACCAAATATATAGAGTGTAAGTAATATATCTAGTGGGGGGACTGTTGCTTTGGGTGATTAAGTCATTAATAAGAGTACGTTTATCTTGAGCCTATTATTCAAAGTGATGGTTGAAGTGGAGGAACGCATCGGGCCTGTTGTGTGATAGAAAGTACCCCTCAAACTTAAGGGAAAATCCTCTAAGATGGTGGTGAGACTTGCAATGCTTTATGGTGCATAATGTTGGATATTAAATGACAAGCATAAAATTAAGTGTTGCAGAGATGAGGATGCTCAGGTGGATGAGTGGCTTCACTCCTAGAGACATAATGCAAAACAAGTATATACATGAAAAGGTTGGAGTAGATCCAATGGCAGATAAGATTAGAGAGTTACCTTAGATGATTTTGGTCACATCGGACTTCCAATTACCCGGTTAGAGAGTAGATGTATTAGATTTGTATGTTAAGAAAGGTAGAGGTATACTTAAAAAGATTTGGTTAAAAAAAATTAGAAATGACATTTTTATTAGATTTAAATGAAAATTTGCCTCTTAATAGAACACAATAGAGAAAAAAGATTCAGATAGCCGACCCCACGTAGTGGGATAAAAGCTCGATGTTGTTGTTGTTGTCGTCAAATAAAAAAAAAAGATTACTAAGATTGGGTTCTTGGTGAGATGCGTATTTTCCACTTGATTGTGGGTTCAAGTAAATGAATATGGATGTTTTAATAGCTTTTGGAACTAAAGGAACATGGCGGTCCTATGGATTTGAGGCTAAGATATGAAGGTGGTTATGTGATTTTGTGTCGCATAAGATGATGGTGTCAAGTTTTAGCAAATGCAAAAGAATTAAATATTTTGATCTTGAAATCAATGAGGAAACCTATAACTTGGAAGTCTAAGGATGAAACTAATTTACTAAACTTGGGTCAAACAAATGAAATTTGTTCTGATTACGGGATCACCTGTTAACTTTGAGTTCAAGCAAATGAAAGGAAATTCTAGATTTTAGCTCTTAGAATAGAATAATGCTATTTCATAATCTTTTAGAGATCATTTGGGAACCTTCCATGTAGGATTTAGAAAGAGCATTAGGGAGGAGAAAGGAAAGATTTGGATTGGCTTTAGCTCAAGACAAATCTAAGGCTTGTCTAAGGTTGCTTCGCCATAAGGGCCCTTAACAAATGCTAAGATATTTTTAAACTCATTAAAAGATCTTTGGGGAGCTTTAAATGGAGTTAAGAAAAACACCCAGTAAGATGAATTCATTTGAGGAAATCAAATTTGGGTTTGATCTTTACACAATTCAAGCCACCTCAAACTTTGTTTTAAGTCAATAGAAGGTTTTAAATGTATTCAAGAAAATGGGATGTTATCTGATTAGTTTGAATAAATCCTAGGGAGAAGTGGATCAATTGATTTCTTTCGAGCAAACAAATGGGTTCTTCAAGCTTAGGATTTGGTCTTAAGGAGTGTTATGGTTTTCTTGGACTTATTAGAAAGATGTGTGAATTTTCCATATGAAATTAGAGAAAATCAAATCAAGAAAAAATCAATGTAGAGAAGGGTCAAATTAGGTTTGACGTATACAAATCTCAAATCATCTGAAGATTTGTTCAAGGGAAAGAGATGTTCCCAGATGGACTAAAAGGATGAGCTATTACTTTGTTGATTGAGCTAAGCAAAGAAGGAAAAGTAAGCAAGGATTGAAGCTATTGATCGATTTTAACTCAAACTAATAGTCAAAGAAATCTAGAATTTAATTCGAAGAATTGTTGGCACTCTCTTGACATTCAAGAGATTGTTTGGAAACTTATACGTGAGTTCAAGAAGGAACCAAACAAAGAGAGCCCAAATAGGAGAATATTCAAGTTTAATTTGGTTCAACTTGAATCAAAACAACCTTATTATTTGTCTAAGGGTAATTTAACTTCAACATGGCTCTACAGTTTATGGAATGAATTAGAAAAAAGCATTAGGAATCCTCAAAACAACATCCATGAGTGATAGACATTTCCTAAGAATGCTCCTATTATTTTTGAAATTGTTGGGTTCAAGATGATAGGAAGACACACCTATGACTTGGTAAATCAAATGAGATCAATTTTGTCATGATCTATTGATTTTAAAAACACATATAAGTTTGATTTTGCATTCTTTTTTAGGAATTTTATAAATTAAGAGCAATTGATGTTTAATTTTTATCACTCTATGTTTTGAAAAATACTAAAATGAATTTAATTAATTTCACCCATTATGGATGTGAGGCATAGACCTTTAAAGGACTTGGAATGATCCCACAATGATTTCATCATTTCTCAAATTCATTAAACTTGTTTCAATACTCTCCAAAAGCTTAAGGAAAACTAAAAGCTCTAGCAAATGCAATATTCCCATATTTTTAGATTAATTTTGTCATAACGTAGATTTTGATATGGAATAAAATGCAATATTTTTTAGCTGTTGGAATAACATGCAATATGTATTGATTTAAACATGTGTATAGACATGGGATTGAAATCAAATGCTTATATAAACCTAGGGCTGAATGTAGGCAAATGTAAAGTCTATGAATTCAGTTTCATCCATGATTCTGAAAACCTGACGCTTGATCATCTTCTTGTTTTTTTCTTAAATTAGAATCATGCATTGCAAATCACCATATTTACATGGATTAATGGAGAGGAAAACAAGTATTTAGGTTAAAAATTGTCAATATTGGTCATCTAGTGTTGATTAGGATAGTCACATACACATTCACATGGTCAATAAGTTATCTAAGTTTTTAGAGAATTTCCTTACTAAAGTGATGTTCAGTAGTAATCTGCTGTAGTACATTCGTCTAGTAGAGATGAAGGCAACTAAAATAGCTGTCGATTGGACTGTTATGGACGTCATCACCACCAGCAACTTGCCATAGTCGATGAACGGGGAAGAAAAAGATGTCTCGGTAGTCAAATTCTACTATGGCTGGGATACACTCCTTCAATAATTAAAAGAGCTCCTCTCCGATCTTGGAAGTAGTCGGAGGTGGAGAAGAGGTCAAGGCTTTAGCATAAGTAAAAAAACAACTTTCTCCACCTCTTTCTTCGAAATAGTTATACATGCCTTCCATCTCCCACCACATCTCACAATTTTCACATGATGACTAAGTTTTTTTTTTAACTTCGCTTTCACCCATTTTTCCTTTGAGATGAGCGTCGATGATGCTACATTCCTTCTCCTACGATCTCCAGATGCAACTCACAACTTCTACTGCAAGAATTAAATAGAGCTCCGTCTGCGACTTTATTTCGAGTCGAGCTCTTGAGCCTAAGGAAAACGGATAGGCCGAGCTCGAGGTTGTTCTATGGGTTTCTACCTGTGTTTTTTAGCGACGAATCGAGCTTGAGTTGTGAGTTAATATAGTACCAAAATACATAAACCGTGTGCCGTAAACTACTTAGCAATGGGCCTTTAAGTTAGTGAAGGTTGCTAAACCTTAATAATGACACATTAAGTTGGTGTCCTAGAAGCTAGAAACCAATCTCTTGGTCACTTTATTATAGTCTGCAAATTTATTAACGGCTATCCATTAACGTTTTGGTGACCTGCTGACTTATTAGCGACAACCCTTAATGGTCAAAGATGGATTTTAGTGTTTCTAAAAATTTTCTTAGTGATCCATAATTCAAAATAGATAAAGTATGTAGTAAACAGCATGCAAAAAGTGATTTGAAAATATAGGGTTATATTCAAAAATATGTGAATATTTTAATAATTATTAAGAGTGATTTTTTAAGACGGGATTATTTAAATGCTTGAGCTTGAGCGGTCATAAACATGATCAATATCTTATCCATATGAACATTAAAGATGAAATAGCCTAGTTCTATAGTTTGCCTCAAATGTGCTTTGTTTACATGATAGAAGGTGATCGTGTGATTAACAAAAACTGCTCTCAACGGATGTTAGGTCGACTTGTAATTTTGCCATTCCATGAGTACATCGAGAACTATTTGAATTTTTTTGCATTCTTTGTTGATTCTTATGGTCAGTGGTTAAGTTATTCTCTGTTAGCTGATTTGTTTGTGCTTTTCTGCTTCTTACGCTGCAGGATAATGACATGTACCGAGGAAAACCTTTGTTCTTAAACATGGAACGCTATGCAGCGCTTACATATTTGGTAATTGAAAGTTTCACAACATGTAGCGTACTTTGTTGAAATGACATGCCATTTGGATAGCGAAATTTGTCCTAAAATAGATCAGATAACATCTATGTGGTCGATGGTAGATGGAGATTGCATGTTCCTAAAGCTGAAGTTTCCTGTTTGAATTTGTTCATTAAATAATAGGTGGCATCTCATGGTCTTGACCGGACATCTGAAGTTCTTCGTCAGACAACAATTAGTGTTTTTGGCTCTGATTAAATTTCTTGTGGTGCTTATCATGAAGGTGCAGTTCAATATTTGCTTATTTTCTTTTGAATGTTAATTTATGCTAGTCGTAGTTAAAAGGTGTCCATACCTGCCACTTTCTATTCAATTCATTGCAAGGCGGGTGAAAGTCTTTTTCTCTTCCAGGAATTAAGTTTTTAACTTTATATGCATGATAGATAAATTTAGTTTTGTTCTTTCATTTGTGCAGCTGCAGGCTAAGAATTGGAATTTGAAAACTAGCGGAAATGCTATTACACTGAGTCCAAGGGGAGGGATTTATGCTGCTGAACGCCACCTGTTCGTTTTGGTACGCCTTACCCACCATTTAGCCATTTTCTTTATATATATCAAATATGCTATTGAATGGTCAAAATATCATTCTTGATGGTGTCTGGATTATACCACTGTTTATATAAAAAATTTGATGTAGGGATAATAATTTGTTTTCCTCAAATGGAGAAAGAAGTTGGGAAACACTAGTGCTTAAGGGGGCCTAAGGGGCCTGAATTGGGAATTAAGCTGAGTTTTAATCATCAATTGGGTGGTAAGTGTATTATTAGGAGTAGGCAGAGTTAGACTACACCCCAGATCTTCCCCTGGGAATAAGATTTAAGTTTTCTTTTTTTCTTTGTTATTGCGGTATTTACTTTCAACAAGAACAAATAATTTAAGGAAATGTCTTTGCCTAGTTTACTATAAAGCAAAAGATCTTAGCTTTGGTGTCTTGTTATACTTAATTTAAGTGAAAAACATTGAAACGCCTCGACTAAAATTTAAGCGTGATAAGTGTAAACAAGTTTTTTCTAAAGAAAAAAAAAAGTTTTTTCTAAAGAAAATAGTTGTGGAGGTCAGTAGAGGCGCACTAAAGGCTGGAAGAAAACCGAGCTGAATTGATTATAGTGCAGGCGCCTAAGTGAAGCATGAACATGTAATGTAAAAAGTTGGAGTTTTTCTTGATAGAAGCTGAAAGTTTGTATGCACATAAACTAATTTTTCAGCTCGTTGTGGAGTAATTTTGTTTCTCTTCATTGATTAGATGAAAGAATGTGTTCTAATTTCTCTCACAATAAGATGAGAATGAAACTTGGCCAAGAAGTTTTATGGCGATTATTTAAAGTAGAGATGCTGAAGCTCCATGAATCAACCATCACATTTTTTGATCCATTCCCCACCTATCACACAAAAACTCTTGGTCCCCAAAGTACTCTAGATAACCAAAAATTTTAGCAAGCTCTATATTGACAACTCTTCTCTTCTTCTCATTTAGAAAATAACGCTTCAAACATGTCTTCCTCATATTTGAAATTTCTAAATCTCTCTATGGAGAAATTTGTTGATGATCCTCTTGAAGCCATTCCTTGAATATATTCAAATATTAACAAAAAAAAAAAATAATTGGATCATTATGAATCATCAAATTGTGAATTAATAATGAAAGAATATTGAAATTTTCATTGGACTTAGTGAGTCACAAATATTGTTCGTTTGCAAAAGTATAAATAACATTTGCTACACCTAGAACTTGTGGATGAAATTGTGAGATGAAATTGTGAACCGAGCAAAAGTAACACATCTCTTCATTTGCCTCGGTATTCTTAGCTGCACAAATATTGTTCAAGGCAAGATTAAGCGTATGTACAACATATAATGTCCAAAAAATATGAGGATATGCTTGGTCCACAAATAGAACTGCAGCTCTACAAATAGGTGCATTATCAATAATGACCTAGATGATTTTTGAAGGCCCCACAATCATGATGACTTCTTTGATTAAATGTACCATCAACAAACCCAATACAAGTGGCACTAGAATCGAATGATCGACACAAATAGTAGGTTCAAAAGTTAGAATGGCAAATAGAATGAGCAAATATTATATAGTCAATAGCTTCAGAGAAGAGTTAAACTAGATTTAGGCATTCAAAGTTATTATACTTGCTATCATAAACTCACATGTGAGATACATTCGCTTAATAACTGATTTTATTTCATGATTTTATATGGGAATAAAAAACTGATTTTATTCAATTCAACGCAACATAACATAATTTGTGCCATACCTCTTTTGAGGGTCTCCTTTTATTCATAATTTCTTTAATATAGTCATGTCCACAGTCCACTACACCTACATCAAATCAATATAAAGTTGACAACAACAACATCAAGCCTTTGTCCCACTACGTGGGGTCGGCTACATGAATCCTTTTTCGCCATTGTGTCCGGTTAAAAGTCAACTTCTCATCTAAATCTAATAAAGAAAGATCATTTCTGATATTTTCTAACCAAGTCTTTTTAGGTCCACCTCTACCTTTCTTAACATAAGCCAAATCTAATACATCAACTTTTCGAAATGATCTTTCTTGAAATTATGAATTGAGCTATATTTTGAGTCAGCTATCCTTGAGTTCAAAGTGATTATTGCATGTATAAATGTGTGAAGATACATATGATGATATGAATATCTGCATTCATACCTATAACAAATTGTAATGAGTTAAATTGAACTAATTTTGGATAAGTAATCCTAAATTCAGCAAAAATATATTTCAATTTTGTATAGAACAAAATCTAGGGGATTTTCGAACAAGCTTGGAGTTTTGAACATAACTATGAGCCCTACTCATGCATTTCCATCCCCACCAAGAAACGTATGAAGCTTACCTAAATGCGACCATTCAATCCAATGACTATCTCAAAAGACTATATATCAAAGGCTTGCAAAACAGGACATGTAGGAGTGCTTGAAAATGCACTAATGGCCAAACATTTTACACGAAGAACAACAAAAAAATTTCTATAGGAAGCAGATGACACAAAATAAAAGGAAAATGTTAACCAACATACCAAACAATGCTCGGTCCTCGAGTATGTACGCTCTTTCCAACTCTTCGTAGCGCCTGCTCACGAAGATGACAAAGGTTACCCGTAAACTAAAGAAAATAAACCCTTGAAGAAGAAGAAACGAAGACGAAGAAGACAAAGAAGATGAAGTAAACCAACCTCATGAAGACGAAGAAATGAGCTCATATTGTAGTCTCATGGCTCGCGTGTTCCTCCTTCGATGAGATGTCAAGGACAAAGCAGGCGACCACAACCACGCTCACGTAACACGCGCCTGTTAGGTTCATGCTCATGTAACACGCCGTTGGCTTCACTGCCACAGTAATGCCCTAACCCACTTCTCCCGTAAACTGAAAATAAAAATGCCCTAACCCACGTGGCAATGATATACGGGAAACAAAATACGGGACATGCATGTTCACGCGTTTTTTTTTTAAATGGGACATGCGTATCCGATGTGTGTCCTTTTTAATTTTAATAATTTTTAATCAGATACATATTTGTGTTGTCCGACACTTGTCTCAGCTGTATCGGGCGTGTATCTGCATCCGATACTACATACCTCCATAAATAGGTGTATCGGTGCAACATAGGCCTAGATAGACGATCACCGCTATAATTTATAATAGAGAAAGAGAGAAAGATGAGCACTCCTATGTAGAAAACCATGGTTCTCCACCCACTTAAATTTTGATGTTATAACTTTCAACTAGAAGGTCCTGTCCATTTTCTTTAGAAGAGTAGCGGCATTCACTCACCAGGATTCTCTACATCCCTTTATCATCAATTCAATGTAGTAAAATGTTTTGTTGATTCCTAGTTTGTTGATGATATTTATAGTGTATTTGATCATTTTGACCGGTGAAATATAAGGAAAAAAAACCAAATTTTTATGAGGGCATCTAAATGTCATTAAATTGTCCATTTTTCTTCTATGCTCGATTGATGTTTAAATTAATATAAGAATTGATGAAATTCATTTCATAAGTAATTTTCATGACTTGAATGAATCAACACTTTGATGTTTATTTTGAGAACTTTACAAAGTGATAAATCTAAAATGAAAATTATGATGAGGAGAAAGTCATCCTTTTTATTTTTATTTTTTATTTATTTTCCATCGCCAAATTTATTTATATCATGACTGTTCATGGGATAATTTCAGTACTTGTACAACTGTCGTATCAAATTTTTTTTTGTGTGCAGGTTTTGAACTTTGTTGCATGCAAAACTTGTGCAGTCTCTTCTATTTCATTAGACATACAGCTCCCGTTCTTATGAACCTGTATATTTTGCCATTCAGCACTGGCCTCACTTGTTCTTTCAACATATGTATTTATTTATAGAAGCAGGATGATATGCTTCTTCTGTACATATATATAAATTGACAATTTAAGGGGTCAGTTCTTGTTCATCGGCTTTTCCGCAAAGCTTTATAATTTCGTCGCAACTTTCTTCAGCACGCCGAGCCAATAATTCGTTGATACAAGATTTTGGTGTTAGATGCTATAACATATCTGAGAATATTTTTTTCTTATTTGGTGGAAAGATAGTTTGATAAATATTAAAAGCTGAACCCACGATAGTTAATGGTCATGGCTTTGTGTTTGGTAGTGTTGGATTACTCTGTGGTTGAGTCTATCTTACACAAAATTGTCATGAGCTAAGGGGCTGTTTGGTTTGTTGTAAACGGAATACAGCGTAAAAAGAATAGTATAAAATGAGTGTAATATATTTGAAATATTTGTTGTTTGGTAAGTGTATAAAGAATGCATGAAATTATGTTTTTTTATTTGATTTTAAATAAAATGAATGCAGTGTAAAGTCAAAATTAATTAATATTAATTTGTAATTGTACATGAATAATTAATAGAATTTATTAGATGAATTATTATTTTAAACTATATTTGTTTGGGGGGGAACCAAGGGCAAAATCAAACTTAATTTTCAGAAGGGGGGGAACAAATTTTGGTTGTAAGGACATTTTTGGAATTCAAATTAATAAATAGAATAATAAATTCTCTTTACTATTTCTCTTTTTACTTAGTTCATTGTTCCCTCATAATAAGATCTCTATACAATGTGTTTAATTATGTTGAGGGCAATTGTTTATAGATCATAGTATTTTAAACTTTTATGGGGGGTAATTGCTTAAAAATCTTTGTAATAAAGATAAAAAAATAGATGGAGGTAGATAAATTACCTAAATAATCATATAATAACCCTTGGCAACCAACTCTATCAATTTTATATTTATATATATATAGTAACAATTATAATTTTATTTAGCGTTTAATCATTCTAATTTGAATGAGCCATTTTAATATTACATCAATAAAACTATCAACTTCTATCAAATGATTTTAAATTTTGAAAAAAAAAATAAACTTGTAACTTTTTCTGTCCTGGAACACTCTTAACTTGTGTCAGATTTTAAGATTTCAATTGGAATATTTTTCTTACTGCTTCTTAAATTGACATTTTAGTATAAAAATAAATTTTTTTTAACTAAAAGAATTACTTTAATAAGTAATAAGAAAGATGTCTCAAATGAAGCATAATCCTCTTTCCACACTTCAAAAGAAAAGTTACCTAATTATTCATTGTTTTTCTTTAATGCCCTCTTTGATATGGCCTTTTTGAAGATCTATTCGCAAGCTCTATAACTGTTATTTTTGAATCACTGGATGTATTAATCTTAAGATTTAAAAGTTATTATAGTATGAAAAATAATATTATTATTCTTAAGAAAACTTAAATTATTTTAGAGTTTAAATTTAATTTTAAATTTATAAGTTGAATGAAATTATTGAATCTAATAAATTCATTTAAAGCATATTTTATAAATTAAGCAATTAAATTAATTTTAATATAAAAATATTTGTTCCTAATAAAAATTTGTTAGATGTATCACAATTTTAAAATTTATTTAATAAAAATATAATATTAATTTACTATATATTATATCTAATGTAAACAAATTCAAAAAAAAATTATTGACTCTTTTTTTTTTCCTAAGATATGCATCTGTTAGTTTATTATATATTTGTTCCTCCTCTTTCCCATTTTGGCATTCCGTGCTTTGCGCCAAAACCTTTAGCCCGTCGTACCTTGTACTGATTGCCCTATAGAACTGCAGCGCCCCGACCGGAGATGGAGGGTTACCAATTACCTCCGGCAATCGCCGGCCGATTTCCGGCGACGTCTGAGAACTGAGGTAGATGGTCGAATCTTTGAGTCACATGCTGATCGAAACATTTTATTTGCTTTCTCGTTATCCCTTTGGCGATGCCTGTCTTTCTCTTCTGGCAGCTTTGCGTTGTTTTTTGACTTTTTTCTTTCAAAAAATTGAAATAAATAAATATTTTTATGTGTTCCATTCTTCGTTTCTTACTAATTGAATCGCATACTCCAGTACTTTGGGGCTAATGAGGTTCGGCTGTGATTGCTTGTACCTTTGAAGGTAAAAGGGATCTAGTTCTTGTCCGTTCTAAGTTGAAAATGAGATTGATTTATGGGCATTTATCTTTATTCTTTTCTTCTTCGTCGTCTTTAGCTTTTGCTTCAAGGATCAGAAGATGAGCCAGCCCTCTGTGATTCTGGCTACAGCTGGATACGATCATACCATCAGGTTCTGGGAGGCCAAGAATGGGAAATGCCACCGTACCCTTCAATATCCAGATTCTGTGAGTTTGAAATCGTTAATTGATTTCTGATTCTTTTTTGGTTGTCTTTGGGAAAAATGGCTGTTGTTTTTGAACTTATGAAGCTTTTTTATTTTTTATCACGTGTTAATTTTTACTTCTGTCTGGAAGAATGTATATCTCTCACTAAAAGATCAATTAACAATTACTTTATTGTTCCCAATTTGTTACTCATGATAGTTATATTTTATTTTTATCCATAGGGTGGTGTCCATGAATCTCTTAGAGCATCTCCAACCGAACGCGAAATGAGCGTATGGCGTCGTTCGGTCGCTCCAGCTGAATGCCAAATTTTCCGCCATTTACTTGCGGGTGAACAGTGCGACGTCAATATTGGCGTGGCACTGTTCACCTACGCTATTTTGCTCTCTCAACCGGAAAAACGCGTGAAAGGGAGAAGGATCGTTACCTTCGCAAAAGCACATAAAATGGCGTTCGATTGGAGCATCACCACGGCATTTTGGAGTTTTGTTGTTTTTTGTCGTGAAAAATGGAGTTCTCCGTTGGAGATGCCCTTAGGTGTTGTTTGGTTCAATGTTATGTAGGCAACATTGTTATCTAGGTACCAGTGTTATATAAATGATAATGCTATCATGCTATATTATTTAAATCACTTAACATTATCTAAAAAGAACAACGATGATTTAGATATTCATTTTTGCTATAGTCATTTTATTTATCAAATAGCCTAACATCTATGATAACCAAAATAGAACTTAAATTTCATTTATGAATGTAAAATTTAAAGGTTTTAGTAAAGCTAACAACTAAATTCTTATAACATAACATTGGATGGCTCATTTCAGCTAACAAAACAACTCATTATATATTTTTCTTACCCATGGGGAAAAACTCATGCTTTTTAACCCCTAGGACTTATAGAAGTTTACTTGGACTGATTATGCCTTACTTTAGAGCATTAAGATAATGGATTGGACCACTTTTCGCTCAGGGCATTATTCTATTCTATCCTTCTTTCTCATATGTGCATCTTCCATCTACTAAAAAAATGGGTGAATACCGTCGATTGGGTCATTAATAACTTGGGGAATATCTTTTATTACAAGTCGTGATGCTTTATGTTATCTTAAACCATGTTGTGATCTTTTTCAATTTTATTACTATTAGTTTTGCAGATATGTGAGCAATTTTTGTTCATGTCACCACAGTTGTCTAGTACTACTTGTTTTTGTTTCCATCACTTCATTTTCTTTCTTCTGCATTGTGTGAAAGGCCATGGTTAGCATACTTTAAACTTCCCTGAGTCATCTAATTGATCATCATGTTCTTTTGAGTGGTTAGAAATGATAAAGGAATGAAATGAGCTATATAGATTTCTTTTGTTATTTACAGTATGTCAACTGTTCCCAGCTGTTTTATTATTGAGATTTATGTTTAAGCTTACATTTTGATTATGAGCTGTGGCAAATATACTACCATTTGACAGATTAGTGACATTCAAACTCAACTAAACTACTTTCCTTGTTTGCCATAATCTGCAATTTTTATGGCCCTATGTATCATGGCGTGCCATGAAAAATGTCATAAAGGTTTTCTTTCAAACTCAGAGTTTTTGAAGATTGAGAATAACTTATTGCTATCTTATGTTGCTTATGTTTGTTAGTTCTGGTTCTGAATGGTACGTTAATACCTTATTTAATAATGCATATGTTGTTATCAAATTAATAATTATTGATAGCAGGAATATCTTTTAAATATCATGGGACTGCTTGTGAGATTTGGACTGAAAATGCTCAAATTAAGGGCATCTGGAGCACAATAGATTATTCTAACATTAATCACAACTGCAATTTTCTTTATGATGATGACAAAAACAACAACTTCAAGCTTTTATCCCACCACAGGGGTTGGCTAAATTTTTTTATGATGACAATGGCTCATTTATCTGTATAATTGCAAGTGCTAATGATAGGAGCAAACAACCTGCATTTTAATTTTTTGAAGTCTAGGAGCAAACAACCTGCATCTTAGCTTATGTTATATTTAAGTAAATGTCCTGGACTTGTGGTACCATTTTTCCTTTATATTTTTTTACTTAAAAAGCATCAAAGTGGTTACTTTTATCAGCAATTGTTTTGTTTGGTATTCGAACAAATGCTGTTATTTATTTCAATTAACCTCTATTTAACTGAATAATCAATATGATCCCTGCAGCAAGTCAATCGGCTTGAGATTACACCCGATAAGCGATTTTTGGCTGCTGCTGGAAATCCCCACATTCGCCTTTTTGATGTCAACTCAAGCAGTCCTCAGCCTGTATGTTCATCTGCTATTACCGATTTTTCTTTTTGTTTTATTTCACTATAGATCCTAATATTTGTTCCGTTTTGCTTCTTTGGGTTATGTCACCAGGTTCTGAGCTATGATTCACATACTAATAATGTCATGGCAGTTGGATTTCAATGTGACGGAAACTGGATGTATTCAGGCTCTGAAGATGGCACAGTTAAAATTTGGGATTTAAGGTATTAAGAAGTTTTTGAAATAACGGGAAAGACCTTGTTTTTTGTTGGCGTATGACATCAGGAATTGTTATATGCTTTCGTACACTTATAATTACGGATATTTTCCTCAGTTGTTTTCTATTTGTATTCATCCTATATGCATATACATGGGCTCCTAAATTCAATCAATAATACATTATGAATTTTGTTCTCTAACATGGTATCAAAGAAAGGATGATCGCACAACAAGATTGCTCTCCAGGAATCTCCACTCCTGTGGTTAAAGCTCCTTGCCTTAGCTACACCATTTTCCCACTCATGTGCCTACAACCCCCTCACCTGTGTTCATGACCACACTCATCAAGCTTATAGCCACGCTCTCATTGCATCCGCACCCACACTCACCACACCACCTGTTGCCTCTCATCTATGCCTACAACTCTTCGCTTGCATTAACACTCTTGCTTTCAATTTCATTTGCGTGCTCACTCCCTACTCTAGCTCGCATACTTCATCACAACTTTGTTCTCCTGAGTTGCCTACAACCCTAAGGCATGATAACTCTATGCCTCCCATGGTATATATAATCTAAATTTTCCCTCAAATTATCCTCTCTCTCTCTCTCTCTCTCTCTCTCTCTCTCTCTCTCTCTCTCTCTCTCAAGTGATGCACATTTCTCACTCCTATTTTATTAAGTAAAAACAATTTTCCGCCATCATTACCATCAACATCGGCAGCAGCCTTATACTAACTTTTTTGGGATAGGCAGTTTGAATCTTCATTTTCCATTCATTTTTACTAAATGTTGTATAAGATGGTAAACTTATTTTTTGCATGTCATTATGAACAACTCTTATGTATGTTTCCTTAAGTCTATCTATTTTCCTTCATAGGTATCTACACTAATTTTATCAACTTATCAAACTAGCATATGTTTAATCATTCGTTGTACATATCCAATCTATCTAAGTTTAATTGCCTTCATCTTACCTTTGAAGGATGTCACTCTAATATTTCCTCAGATATAATTATTTTTTTAATTTGCTTCCTAGTGTTGCTATACATCTATTTTAATATTCTTATTTTTGCACGTTCAACTTAAGTGTGTATATCAATATATTTCTTAAAGCCAACATTCTAATTCATATACCATTTCTAACCTAATTGGAGTTTAATAAATTTTACCTTTAAGCCTTCATATCCTCTTGTAACATAAACTTTAGAGGCACTTCGCCATTTTAATTATTTAGCCTAAATTCTAGAAATCATATTCTCATTTATGTCTCCATTATTTTGTATGAAGATCTAATGCACTTAAACCTGTCATAACAAGGTATCTTCTTTTCTAATCATATTAATGTTAATGTTTAACATTTTACCAAATACAATAATAAATATCATATACTCAATATTTATTTTATTAATTGTAAGTCCGTAATCTTCTAAATTTTTCCTCAATTATTATAATTGTTCACTTATTTTTTGTTGATGTCTCACTAATTGGAATTATATCATTTGAAAAAAAAATACACAAATGCACCTTCCTTTGAATATTTTATATAAGCTTATCCATTATCAATACAAAAAGATATGAACTCAATATTGATCATTTATATAAACTATGTTAATTATAAACTTTTGGGTCTCCCCACATTATTCTTATTAGACATGTGCAAGAGGATGTACCTTGGTATATGCTTCTTGTTGGTGATATTTTTCTTGTTGATAAGACTAGAGAGGGAGTTGATAAAAAACTTGAATTATGGAGGTCAACATTAGAGTCTAAAGGTTTCATTTGAGTATATCTAAAACCGAATACGTGGACTGTTTTTTTTTTAGTAATAGATCTAGTTGTGAGTTTGTGATTATGGGTGATCAAGTCATTAAAAAGAGTACATATTTTAGATATCTTGAGTCTATTATTCAAAATGATGATATAATAGATGGGAATATTATTAGTAGAATTCAAGTTGGATGGTTGAAGTGGAGGAATGCATCGGGCTTGTTGTGTGATAAAAAAGTACCCCTCAAACTTAAGAGAAGATTTTATTAGATGGTGGTGAGACCTGCAATGTTTTATGGTCCAGAATGTTGGCCATTAAAAAATAAGCATAAAATTAAGTTAAGTGTTGCAGTAATGAGGATGATGCTTAGGTGGATGAGTGGTTGTACACTTAGAGACAATGTGAAATAAGAATATATGCAAAAAGGTTGGAGTAGCTCCAGTTGCAGATAAGATTATAGAGAGTTGTCTTAGATGGTTTGGTCACATAAGTTAGGAGAGTAGATATATTAGATCCGGCCTATGTTAAGAAAGGTAGAGATAGATCCATAAAGATTTGGTTTGAAAGCATTAAAATAATAATTTTTTTTATTAAATTTGAATGAGAATTTGACTTTTAATAGGGCAAAAAAAAAAAAAAAAAGATTCTTGTTACTAACCCCACTTAGTAGGATAAAGGCTTGTTGTTGTTGTTGTTGTTGGGTTGCCCCACAATCACTTCTAGTACTAGTTATTGCTCCATCATTCATATTTTTAAAACATCATCATATCTTTGACATACAAGTTTCAATCTTAAAGCACTCTAAATCAATTATAGTGGTACTCGATTACATACATTATCTAGACCAATAAAAATCATGTGAAGAGTATTTCTTTATTCTCTATATTTCTTCTCTATTAATTATCCCAACACAAAAATCTTTTTCCTAAGCTCCTACTAGATCTTTATGGCATGAAATCAATTTGATTTTTCTTAATTTATGTAACTTTTTTAAGTCTATGTTTCATTCCTCTCTCACATATGGTTCTTGTACTACTAATAAATTTGACTTCTATATAATTTACATAACCTTGAACATTGCTTTTGTTCTAAAACACTTATTCTTTAAGCATTTTACATCTACTTAATTTTAAAATTTTATTGAAAAGATCTTTTAGTCAAATCATTACAGTATCTTCATAACTATCCAAATCTTAATAGATACATTAAATATGAACCTAAAGTCTTTTGTCTTTATTTATATTTTATTTTTTTGGATCAATATATAATATACTTCATTATATTATTTGTGATGCTCTCCCAAAATAAGTTCTTCCTCAAACACCTCATTTAGTAATCTCCCAAAGTAATATTTTCATTTTTTTATCGTCTTTAAACAATATATTTTTATATTCACCTTTACTGCATCTAATTTGACCAAAATTGCTTTGCCTTTATCTTTTGCCTTAATCATTCCAATTTGTGTCTTTTGCATTCATAACAGTACAAAATTTAATGGTAGCAATTATCTCTTATGGTCGAGGTTATTTTTCTTTCTTGTTGATTCAACATTGTGGTTAGTTTAAAGATTATACAAGTTTAATGTTGTGCATAGTCGATGCAATGATATCACTTTGGGATGTTCCTTTATTCTTAAATATTGACATTTTCAAGTTCTCAAAGCGACAAGAATTTGTCTATGTTCTTACCTTATTACGTAACAGTCTTGAATCGCCCATTTCCTCAAATGTTATGATTCTTTTCTCTTTTTCAAAGAAATTTCATTATAGGTTAAACGGTATATAAGGGGAGCTTGTTACCATTACGCCATGCAAATGGTATATTAGATGCACAAACAGTCAAAATATTGATATCTTTATTATAAAAAAAACATTTTTAATCAATTCTTTTATGATGCAATCAAGTATATTAAATGTACATGTATTAGCACCTTAAATTTGGTAAATAATACTAGGGTTGTAAACGAGTCAAGTTGAGTATCTGCCTAATCGAAGCTCGTTTAGCTCTTATTGAGCTCAAGCTTGACTCATTAAAAAATTTATAGGCTCGAGCTTGACTCAATTGCTCGAGCTTGTTTAGAAAGCTCGAGCACGACTCGATTATTGAGACCGATTTCTTTGTTTTAAATTAAAAATTTTAGTTTTTTTAGAATTTTTATTGTCAAATATAGAATTTCTTTAAAATTTTTAAAATATATTATATAATGCTAATTTAGATTAATTATTAAATATATTTTATAATCGAGTAGCTCAATGAACTTTCGAATTGGCGCAAGCTCAAGCTTGAGCTCGCGTAATATACAAGCTTGAGTATATGTGTTAGACCGGTCCAGCTGGTCTACATGGGACCGGCTCAGGCGAATGGAGGCGGAACTTCTCCGCTTCTCCCGCGGAGGCCAATCAAGCCGCAAGTTTTTGGGAGCCAAATAGGAAAGATTTTTTGGGGAATTAAGAGGAAAATTTGAATGTAGGGACTGTTTAGGGATTTACTTTTGATTTATATGCATTAAATAGTTTGTTTTCCTAGGGTTATGGCATCTTGAATTTGGCTGATTTTGGGATCTCTTAGGTTTAGGTTTTGGGCTCTAGATTTGTCTTGAGATTGGGAGAGATCGATCCTCCTCTCAAATCGAGGATCACTTGTATCTTGTTGTTTTCTTCCGATCTATTTGATTCTTGCAATAAAATTATTATTTTTTATTATTTTGTTTTGGAGTATGGAAGAATTTCTCGCTGATTTTCTGAAATTGATAGGATTTACTTGAAATCTTCAAGTGTTTCCTATCAATATGCTTAAGCTTGAACTCATGGAGCTCGAGTCAGCTCGGCTCACTTACACTCTTAAACAATACTAATAAAGATGAGGTAATACTGCACCCAATATTTAATGATTGATCAATCGAACTCAGCTATGCGATTGGGTGCTAGTTCGAACTCAGCGACTGAGCGGGTGGGGTTCAGATGTGCGAGGATATTTTCCTTGCGCCGAAGGACGTCGACTCCATGGGAAATCTCTTTCGTGGCTATTGGCTTCGACGTTGCTAGAGTTCAGCATTGTCGAAGGACATGAAGAATGGTCAAATGTCGGGGGATGTTGCTTAAGTTTGACGTTGCATGTTTCAATTTCATCTTGGTTGTTGGGGGTTTGATGTTGCTAGGGGTTTATCTCTAGGGTTCGAAGCTCGTGATATAATAAATATTCAATATCTATTTCACCTTGGGAATTTTCTGTTGTTTG